CCTTTTTGGTTGCAGGTAGAATCCTTTTGGTTCCAGGAAGAACCATTTTGGGTTCCATGTAGAACCCTTTCTACAGAGGGTTCTACCTGGAACCAAAAAGGGTTCTCCTATGGGAACAGCCGAAGAACCCTTTTTGAACCCTTTTTTCTAAGAGTGTAGCGAGGCAGAGATAGCCATCACGCAATCACTTCAGAGTGTCGTAGAGTGGAGTCACATACTGACTAGGATATTGGTGAAGGAAGATGAAGACATTATCATAATTAAGTTGATCTTTGTTTGACATCTAAATCAACCAATCAACTGTTATTTGTAAATCACTGATCAAACAAACTAAAAGAGTTTTCGACTATCTGTTTGTTTGGCCTTGTTTTCACAATGGATGGAAGCGAATGTTGATGAAACATTAGTATTCAGGTAATACTTGCTCCCATCGTACCCCAACCTGTCAAGCTCATCTCTGAATCATCTCACTCACACACAAACATCAATTTTTACAGGCCGTTTTAGAACTTCTGAAATGTGGTATTTTCATGTATACAATTTGACTGACCCAAACACTCACTCGTTCACTCACTCAATCTCTGTCTTTTCACTCCCGTTTCTATCTTAGACTTGGGTATAGATCATTTGAATGCGAGAGCTATAATTACAGGACATTGATATGCACCATTGGTTCTTTCCTTACAAATGCTTCTTCACATACAGTGCCTTTCAAAAGTATTCATCTCCCTTGGCATGTTTCCTATTTTGTTTCCTATTTTGTTGCATTACAACCTGTAATTTAAATGGATTTTTATTTGGATTTCATGTAATGGACATACACAACATAGTCCCAATTGGTGAAGTGAAATGAAATAAATAACTTGTTTAAAAAAATTCTGAAAAATAAATAATGGAAAAGTGGTGCATGCATATGTATTCACCCCCTTTTGCTATGAAGCCCCTAAATAAGATCTGGTGCAACCAATTACCTTCAGAAGTCACATAAATAGTTAAATAAAGTCCACCTGTGTGCAATCTAAGAAACTTTGAACATCCCACGGAGCACCATTTAAATCCATTATAAAAAAATGCAAAGAATATGGCACCACAACAAACCTGCCAAGAGAAGGCCGCCCACCAAAACTCACGGACCAGGCAAGGAGTGCTTATCAGAGAGGCAACAAAGAGACCAAAGATAACCCTGAAGGAGCTGCAAAGCTCCACAGCGGAGATTGGACTATCTGTCCATAGGACCATTTTAAGCCGTACACTCCACAGAGCTGGGCTTTACGGAAGAGTGGCCAGAAAAAAAACATTACTTAAAGAAAAAAATAAGCAAACACATTTGGTGTTCGCCAAAAGGCATGTGGGAGACTCCCCAAACATATGGAAGAACGTACTCTGGTCAGATGAAACTAAAATTGAGCTTTTTGGCCATCAAGGAAAACGCTATGTCTGGCGCAACCCCAACACCTCTCATCACCCCGAGAACACCATCCCCACAGTGAAGCATGGTGGTGGCAGCATCATGCTGTGGGGATGTTTTTCATCGGCAGGGACTGGGAAACTGGTCAGAATTGAAGGAATGATGGATGGCGCTAAATACAGGGAAATTCTTGAGGGAAACCTGTTTCAGTCTTCCAGAGATTTGAGAATGGGACGGAGGTTCACCTTCCAGCAGGACAATGACCCTAAGCATACTGCTAAATCAACACTTGAGTGGTTTAACAGGAAACATTTAAATGTCTTGGAATGGCCTAGTCAAAGCCCAGACTTCAATCCAATTGAGAATATGTGGTATGACATAAATGATCAAATGATCAAATGATACAAACCCCCAAAAAATCTATTTTAATTCCAGGTTGTAAGGCAACAAAATAGGAAAAATGCCAAGGGGGGTGAATACTTTTGCAAGCCACTGTAATATCTCCCGAGTGGCACAGTGGTCTAAGGCACTCTATCGCAGTGCTAGCTGTGCCACTAGAGATCCTGGTTCGAGTCCAGGCTCTGTCGCAGCCGGCCGCGACCGGGAGACCCATGGGCGGCGCACAATTGGTCCAGCGTCGTCCAAGGTAGGGGAGGGTTTGGCCGGCAGGGATGTGGGTTTGTTTCCCACGGGGGGCCAGTATGACCAAAAACAAACAAAAAAACATGTATGCACTCACTAACTGTAAGTCGCTCTGGATAAGAGCGTCTGCTAAATGACTAAAATGTAAAAATGTAATACATCCCTTAATATTTAAAGTGTGGATAACTTCATAGGATTATAATGGATGGCCTTGATAAAAGCTCTCACAGTAATTATGCATCATTTGAGCTGTGCTCATCAGTAGCTACATTAGACTGCCCGCTCTCAGAAAACAAACCTCAACCTTCATCACAATACAAGCTACCTCTATCTATCTAGATCTCCAATCGGGCTCATCACTTTGCCAACCTACATGGATCTCTTTGAAATGTCTGGCGCCTGTATTCTGTTATAGACGGTCAGTTATTATTGATGATGACACCATATGGTCCTAGACAAGTGGCATGTAGGCTATTTCATTCAACGCATTATTAGCATGTGCAATGGTCAGGGGTGCAGAGCAAAAAAGCAAAGATCAAGCCAAGCAGTTGATTGTAGGTTTAATAATCTCTGCCTCAATGCATAGACCTATGTAATGTAACCAACTGGGGTTTGAACTTGGGCCTCCTGGGAGCCACAAGACTGTGTTAACTCGCTGAGCTAAAGCGAAGGCATTAGCTTGGGGAGCTAATGCAATTATTCAGGTCTCAGGGAAGGTTACTCATGTGAGTGTGGTTCTGAACCACCTCCGTTCTACAAATACATTCAGTACATCCTCCACAAGAAATGTAAGTTGAAGTAGGAACCGAATCAGGGAGACAGTCGTGATACTGAAACCATCCCTTAAACCAACCCCTACAATTTCATGCATTGTCACTGTGGTTCTGTCTCTGAGTCATGTCTTTGGCAACCCTGCATATATCCATACACGGAGGTCATTTATTATAACACAGAGTATCTACAGGTTTTCATTCTACTGTGACTGTGCTGCCGTGATTCATATTCAGATAAATCCCAGACTCAAATTAGATCAGCCATGAATTATTCAGCTGGTCCTCACTAGGGTGTATTCGACAAACAGTACTGACGTGAAACAAACAAGCAGATGGTGGCAGGTAGCCTAGCGGTTAGAGAGTTTGGCTGTAACCGAAAGGTTGCTGGTTCAAGTATTCGGGCCAATAAGGTGAAAAATGTGTCCTTGAGCAAGGTACTTAACCCTTATTTGCTCCAGGGGTGCTGCACTACTCTGGCTGACCCTGTAAAACAACACATTTCACTGCACCTATCTGGTGTATGTGACAATAAAACATCTTTATATACATGATAATTGCTCAGATTGTATTTTTATTCTGCTAGTAGACTTCATTGATCACTGTTATGTGTCATTTCAATAGAAAGTTCGTCAAGGCCGGCCATTGAAACCTTGTATGGCTCTACTGTATATACATGTATGCAGCACCGTTTGATGACTTTGGCCATTGAATTGTACAGCACCATTTCCGAGGAAGGTTAGATTTTTTTTCTCCCCTCTTTGTCCGTGGTTATATTCAACAACTGCACTGTGTGTAGGGTGGCAGGTAGCTTAGTGGGTAAGAGCGTTGTGCCAGTAACCGAAAGGTCGCTGGTTCTAATCCCCGTGCCGACTAGGTGAAAAATCTGTCGATGTGCCCTTAAGCAAGGCACTTAACCCTAAATGCTCCTGTAAGTCGCTCTGGATAAGAGCGTCTGCTAAATGACGTAAATGTAAATGTGTGTGGGTTCAATAGTGCCCAGCCTGTCTGTCTGCAGTATGTCTGTACAGACATAGCTCAATGCTAAACTGATATTAACACTGGATGCTCTCAGTAGACTAAGATCCACCAAACAAACACTTTAGTCCCCACAAAGGTTTTTATCTTGGACAAAAACCATAGCTATTGAACCAGATCATTTCAGCAATTGTAAAATGAGTCTCGTTCAGAGGGCTTTTGATTGCAAAGCACCATTCAGTAAAGATCCACTAGATGGCAGCAAATGCTGCAACAGGGTAATTAAGTAAAACGTCATATAACATGGATATACATAGATGGTAACAAAAAAAACGAAGATGATCAGGGTGGGGCCATACTTGCGAACGTTAGAAAAATGTAAAGTTTAAACGTTTTCTCTGACTCAAAATGCACATCAGACAATTAAAATCTGTGACGTAGTTGCACGTGAAAGCTGTTCCCATTACATAACCTGGCACATTGAGCCCTATGCTAACCTGAGCAGGTGGCAGTGATTATTTCCTGTAACAAATTCTGCATCAGTTTATCAGAGGTCTTATACTTTATATCCACCAAACAATGGCATAAATTGGTACAAAATCCCACATTTTTGCTAATCTGTTTCACACACATCCATGTGCTTTTACGAAAAAAGATAAAGATCTATACAACATTTAAGTTTATCTTCCAAAATGTGGGATTTTGTCATATATGCGAAAACGAGCTTTTAGAATTTTGTCTAACGTTAGTAGCTAGTAGCCTAGTCAATGATGCATCATGCAATATTGGCACTCTACAATTGAGACAGACCAAGTGGAACAAAAGTAAACCTTGAATTAGGAGCTTTAAAATATCCCTCTGGTGGTCAAATTGACCTACAGTATTTCAAGAAATGACATTGGTTGGTTGTTTTTTGATAGGCTGATGCATAATTTGTTATAGGAAATAATCACCGCCACCTGCTCAGGTTAGCATAGGGATAAATGTGCCAGGTTAAGTCGCGTTTATCTCAGGGGATATGTGCCACAAAGACAGAATGTTTGGGTAAGATGCATGTGTTCGCTCCATAAAATCCATATTGATTCATATTAAAGTCAGTGAAGTGTATCTTATTCAATATTGACTGGAGCCATATGTGATTGTAAATTGATGGAAGGCGTTCACAGAGAAACGCAATCACAATTAATCACAGTGTTATCTCATAATGTCCTCAAAAGGTTAATCAATGAATTTCTCTATTGCCTAGGGCCAAACTCTTCAGAGAGAAGAAAGTGCATGGAGATTATGACATCAAAGTGGAACAGGTAAGCCTCATTAGGCAAACTGCATCGATTTACTTTTGGCACCTGTCTCAGACCTGTCTAAATAGAAACAGAATATGGATCTATACTGTATATATGACTCTATTGTTGTACCTTCTACATTCACTTCTTCAGATGGATCTGTCTGTTTTTCTGCCCTGCAGGCTGAGTTCAGTGAGATCAACGTCATAGCTCATGCCAATGGGAGCTGTAATGTGGACATGCAGGTTCTGAGAAATGGTACCAAGGTGGCCAGGTGAGACGCACGCACACACACACACACACGCACACACGCACACACACACACACACACACCACACACACCACACACACCACACACACACGAGCCAAACAGTAGTATCTGAACTCATTGACAATTCACCAGTGCTCTGAGAGGCAATTTTTCCTGAGCAACACACTCAACCCTTAGACATCGAATCTGGACATTTGCCATGGTTCAGTTTACATGTGAAGGTCAACTCAGTTTAATTTCTCTCTGAAGCAACTGTATATTCATTTTTTTACAGGTCATTCAAGCCTGACTTTGTCCTCATCCGCCAACACGCCTTCAGTATGACCCAGAATGAGGACTTCCGTAACCTGATCATTGGTCTGCAGTATGGCGGCATCCCCAGTATCAACTCCCTGGAGTCCATCTACAACCTGTGTGACAAGCCCTGGGCGGTAGGTAGACAGAGGGCTGGCTGGGTGCCAAGCATGATGCTTGTGTATTTGTGCCTAAAGTACTTAATTTGCATAACTTGACAAATGGATGTCTGATGTCTCTAGTTTGCACAGCTAATAAGCACCTCCAGGAAGCTTGGTGCAGAGAAGTTCCCTCTGATCGAACAGACCTTCTATCCCAACTACAAGGATATGGTAAGAACCTAATCATCTCCTGCTCTGAAATGTAGCCATTAATGTGGACTTATTTTGCTTTGTTGTATCATGAAACCACACATACATAAAACAATAACGTCTACACGATTTATCACCCAGGTTGCCATGCCAACGTTTCCTGTAGTTGTGAAAATTGGACACGCTCACTCAGGAGTAGGAAAGGTAAGAATGTTATTAAGGCTTGATATTGTTCTTCTGTAGATTGTGGGGCTGCTAGTGGTGGGTGGTGAGAGGTGCATTTTGGTCTGTTTGTTATTATTGTAATTTACAAAAACAATTGCATCACAAAAAAAATGTTATACCAACAGAACAAATATATGGAGAACCTGGTAGTTTGAGAGAACCACTGACAACTCTCATCTCCTAATGTTTTTGCTTCCCTGGGTTTCTAACTGTACTCTGTTGTGTGTGCTGTGTCCAGGTGAGGGTGGATAACCACAGTAAATTCCAGGACATAGCCAGTGTGGTGGCTCTCACCCAGACCTACACCACCACAGAGCCCCTCATCGACTCCAAGTACGACATCAGGATCCAGAAGATTGGCAATGACTACAAAGCTTACATGTACGTATTAACTATTCTCCTGTTTTATGTGTATGATATATGCTTCTGAAAACGTTTACATTTTCCACAGTATAGCTTAAGGATCGTCCATTTCTTGAAATAATCCAGAAGTGTAATCAAATTAATCCAACGCAATTGAATTTGTGAATCCTTGAATTAAAGGTCACCAGGGACTTTAATATGTATACATGTGTAATGTCTGTCTCATCCATTATAGGAGGACCTCAATCTCTGGCAACTGGAAGACCAACACAGGCTCAGCCATGCTGGAACAAGTGGCCATGACTGACAGGTACGAGTCCTGAACAACAGCAGTACAGCGCCACTGATAATGCATCCATTCTAATAGGACAAGACTAGACAATACCAGACAATGCCCTGTCTCATTACGAGAGTCAATTATAATTCACGTAGCTCATTAAGAGACAATGTAACTGTCTGTATTGATAGGAGTTAGCACTCTGCAATGTGTTCTCTCTGAATGGTACACAATTGATAACAGCCATTTGAGTAATTGCACTGCTACATGCAAATTATTTCTATTAAATAGCATCACACTTGTTCTTGACATGAATCTATTGACTGTGACACTATGTAAGACCATTTTGTGTGAGTATCTATCCTTCTTCCCCTGTGTTCAGGTACAAGCTGTGGGTTGACACCTGCTCAGTGATCTTCGGAGGGCTGGATATCTGTGCTGTCAAAGCCATTCATGGGAAGGATGGGAAAGATTATATTACTGAGGTAGCGCTTCATACAGTGCTTGACATATTGCATGAATTTCGTATGATGTATTACCTAATTATGCAGTTGCTCTCTACACACCGACGCAGTTAAATATAATGAAAGATTCAACATCTTTGTTAATCAATGTATTGATGTATTCCATGTCCTTGTTTGGTCGCTTTGAGTCTATCCGGTTGTTATGGGAGCAGCAGCCTACACATGATATGGTTAACTATGTGTTCATGCTCACACAGACACACTGTTGAGAGGAGCACAGGGTCAAGCTGCAGTGCCCCTGGATGGAGAGCATGTTTTGGGGTTAAGGGCCTTGCTCAATGGCCCAACGGTAGGGGATTGTTTTGAGGATATGAACCCAGCAGCCCCTTTTTTTTCCAGCACGCCGGTCCAAGATTCGAAAAGGTGACCTTTCGGCTACAGGTCCAACTCCTTAGCCGATGGGCTACCTATTTCTCTAGCCATTCAGTTTTCCCCTCATTTCAACTAAATGTGACACGCAATCTACTGTCGGCCCTTCATAACCTACCTCACTTCCACCTTCTCTTCCTCTGGAAATAATACCATCTTCTGTGTGTGTCAGGTGGTGGGGTCCTCCATGTCGCTGGTAGGAGAGCATCAGGCAGAGGACAGGCAGCTCATCACTGACATGGTGGTAGCCAAGATGAACCAGGCAGTAGGACGGACACCCACTGGGTCTCCTAATAGACCCACCACCATTCAGCCATCACAGGTATGGTGTAGTAGGCTACATACACCACTGTATGGGGGAATATGATCAGTCATAGTCTCACAGGTAGGCTTTTTAGGAAAACCTGTTTGAGAGCCTCCACCTGAATTAGAGTTTAGTGTATTACAGCCATATCAAATGATTGGTCACATACACATATTTAGCAGATGTTGTTGCGGGTGTAGCGAAATGCTTGTGTTCCTAGCTCCAACAGTGCAGTAGTATCTAACAATTCACAACAATACACACAAATCTAAAAGTGAAAGAATGGAATTAAGAAATATATAAATATTACGACGAGCAATGTCGGATTGGCATTGACTAAAGTAGAATACAGTATATACATATGAAATGAGTACAACCATATGTAAACATTATTAAAGTGACTAGTTTTCCAAGTCTACAGTGCATTTGGAAAGTATTCAGACCCCTTCACTTTTTCCACACTTTGTTACGTTACAGCCTTATTCTAAAATGGATGAAGTTATTTTTTTTCCCTCATCAATCTACACACAATATCCCATAATGACAAAGCAAAAACAGGTTTTTAGCATAAAAAAAAAAAACAGAAATACCTTATTTACATAAGTATTCAGATCATTTGCTATTAGACTCGAAATTGTGCTCAGGTGCATCCTGTTTCCATTGATCACCCTTGAGATGTTTCTACAAATTGATTGGAGTCCACCTGTGGTAAATTCTATTGATTGGACATGATTTGGAAAGGCACCTACCTGTCTATATAAGGTCCCACAGTTGACAGTGCATGTCAGAGCAAAAACCAAGCCATGAGGTCGAAGGAATTGTCCGTAGAGCTCCGAGACAGGATTGTGTCGAGGCACAGATCTGGGGAATTGTACAAAGTTTTTTTCACAGCATTGCAGGTCCCCAAGAACACAGTGGTATTCATCATTTTTAAATGGAAGAAGTTTGGAACCACCAAGACTCTTCCTAGATCGGGGGAGAAGGGCCTTGGTCAGGGAGGTGACCAAGAACCCGATGGTCACTTGGACAGAGCTCCAGAGTTCCTCTGTGGAGATTGGACAATCTTCCAGAAGGACAACCATCTCTGCAGAACTCCACCAATCAGGGCTTTATGGTAGAGTGGCCAGACGGAAGCCACTCCTCAGTAAAAGCACATGACAGCCCGCTTGGAGTTTGCCAAAAGCCACCTGACGGACCCTCAGACCATGAGAAACAAGATTCTCTGGTCTGATGAAACCAAGATTGAACTCTTTGGCCTGAATGCCAAGCGTCCCGTCTTGAGGAAACCTGGCACCATCCCTACGGTGAAGCATGGTGGTGGCAGCATCATGCTGTGGGGATGTTTTTCAGCGGCAGGGACTGGGAGACTAGTCAGGATCGAGGGAAAGATGAACAGAGCAAAGTACAGAGAGATCCTTGATGAAAACCTGCTCCAGAGCGCTCAAGACCCCAGACTGGAGTGAAGGTTCACCTTCCAACAGGACAACAACCCTAAGCACACACCCAAGACAACGCAGGAGTGGTTTCGGGACAAGTCTCTGAATGTCCTTGAGTGGCCCAGCCAGAGGCCGGACTTGAATCCGATTGAACATCTCTGGAGAGACCTGAAAATAGCTGTGCAGCGACTCTCCCCATCCAACTTGACAGAGCTTGAGAGTATCTGCAGAGAAGAATGGGAGAAACTCCCCAAATACAGGTGTGCCAAGCTTGTAGCGTCATACCCAAGAAGACTCAAGGCTGTAATCGCTGCCAAAGGCGCTTCAACAAAGTACTGAGTAAAGGGTTTGAATACTTATGTAAATGTGATATAAAAACCTGTTTTTGCTTTGTCATTATGGGATATTGTGTGTTGATTGATGAGGGGAAAAAACAATTTAATCCATTTTAGAATAAGGCTGTAACATAACAAAATGTGGAAAAAGTGAAGGGGTCTGAATACTTTCCGAATGCACTGTATGTACATAGGGCAGCAGGTTGAGTATTACTGTCTCTTAGTAACTAGTGGATAGCTATATTTGTATAAAACCAACAGTGTGTCGATATTCCTGTTTTAAAAGTACATTCTTTAAAGCAGAATTGTATCATAAGGACGTGTCTCTGGGAGTATCACTGTGTTTTGTGTGTTTGCAGTGTGGTGGCCAGAAGGACCTGGTGGTTGATCCCAAGACTGGCGCTACACGCCCTCCTCAAGGTTGTCTGCAGTACATTCTCGACTGTAATGGCGTTGCAGTGGGGCCAAAACCCGTCCAGGCCAACTGAGTAGCCCGCCAGAGAGGAAGTCTATCTAATATCAAAATGATGATGACGTACATTAGCTGGACACAAAAGCGGGGAGGGTGTTGAGGAGAGACGGTAGATGAACTGAGATGTGGCTGGTATTAGTTTGGGCCAGAGTGTAGTGCTGGCCTGGACTGTGTTTTTCCTCTATGCAGTGTCAAGATGTACTGTTAACGTGTTTCCCTGTTGAGTTAGTGTGCTTGTAACGGTCGCCTCTGTTTCTCTGTAGCCGTGGTTTTCTTTGGGGCTGTTGTTGACAGGGTAATAAGCAGATTGTGCCTACACTGAGTCCAGTGCTGCTGTGTGTGCCCAATGTTTGATTCAGTCATCATTCATAATTTGCCTCTACCCCCCCCCCCCCCCTCCCCCCATTTAATTATCAATTTTGGTGTGTACTTTTAGATATTGTTCAAACTGTGGTTTGTCGTGCAGTTTGACGTTTGTGTATATGTCAATATGTATATGTTGGTGCGTATGACTGTAGTGGTAATTATTTTCATACATATACTAATACTAATATAATAGATATTTATTTTTGTTTTGCATGAATGATATGAAGGCAGGTAACGGTATGTTTTTTATCAATCTGGATGTTTCTTTAGTGAGACCACTATTATTATTTCGGTCCCTGTGATTTATGCATTGTGAATGTGTCATAATAACAAATACATATTGTATAAGTTATACAAAATAGATGTATTCATATACAACCAAATATTAGAGGCAAGAAAGCTGATGAGTGCACACATACATACAGCCAGATCACTGCTATGTAAATGTGCATTCCTTTCATTGTTTGAAAGGATGTTCCAGACATGATATGATACTTAGAGTTGCTGTTTCTTTGTCCATTGTTAGCAGATAGCTAACCCATCGAGATACTTCCCTCAGTGAATGTTGCTATAACAACCAACTCTTAGCAAGACAGTTCTTTGACAGTTTTATGAACTGTCTCTATGCACAGAACACAGCCATAGATGTCTTCATGTGTATGAGGACAAGCATATTAGATCACTTACAAAATTACAATAGACTACTCTACACTGTAAAATAAAATCCTGTTGTTTTTACGGTAACCTACTGGCAGCCAGTTACCTGTAAGTTACTGTAAAAAAAAGTACAGTATGTTACCATAAATTCCAAATTAACTTTGGTTTAACGGTACATTAGTACATTTTACAGTAATGCACTGTTTAACCAAAGTTTCTTTGGAATTTATGGTAACATACTGTACCTTTTTTTACATTTATTTACAGGTAACTGGCTGCCAGTAAATTACTGTAAAAACAACAGGATTGTTTTTTGTGTACCATTTTGAGCCATAATACATATTTGACTTGTTTATTATCACTCAACACTTATAATCACAGTCCCCCACTGTAAATATATGGGATTGTTTTGTGGCAGCTGCAGTTGGATCGTGAGAGGAGAGATTTTATGTGATAGAGTTAGAGAGTAACTAACTGTGATAGTCGAATGCTCTCATTCATTCCAATAATGAAGATTCATTAACATAATGACTCTAGAGGTTTGTCCGCTAACTAATAAGATTCCAGTAACAACCGTTGCCTCTTTGGCCTACGATTCATGTGTAAACCCTTTTTTTTTTTTTTTTTTTTTCAGTAAGAAGTGAAGTAGTCAAATTAGTCCTGTCACTTTCAATTATGTTGTCAAGTCGAAAAAACGAAACTGTGATTCAGTTAAATGGTCAAGGTGTGACGTAATATATCTGAAATACTAGGTTTCTGAAACTACCATACACAGACGTCCATGCAGAATATCAACAACCGTATTGGTGTTGCCACGACAACAGTGATGGCACTGTTTTGCAGTGATGATGTGCATGGAGTTATGCTTATGTTACTGCCATTTAAAGATTATTTGACATATTTGCCTTATCATACTCCTCTGAGTAAATGGAGAGTGCAATACATGTTTTTAACTTTAGATTCTTTATTTTTATTACCAGATAGTATTCCATATTCATATAGCTATATTCACAAGTGGGATACAAAACATTTCCCATAGCTACTCCTGTTGTACATTAAAAACACCTGCATTAAGTAGTAGTTAATCATGTAGAATCCATGCATATGTCCTATTTGGTTAAATGGTCATACAACTAAGAATACAGCTATATCAAGATCATTGTAATTGTGTGTCACATTCTAAAACACACTTTTGTTTGTTACTAACAGAATTGTACAAATTAACTATGTTAGCAAGCTCTATGTGCAATTTATTTTCCAACGTGAATGAAATGCCATTGTGTCTGTGCAGATAACCCGGAGAGTAACCCTGTAAAAAGCCTTACCTGTGGCTTTATGCTTTTGTGTTTTGGTTTGTGGGGCAAAATGCCATGACGTTACTACAAAAGAGAGGATAGAGGGGAGGTACCAATGTCCTTAATAGTTGCATGGTGAGGTATTTGTTCTGTAACTAATTGATCAAAGTAACTATTGTCAGTGGAAACTCAAAATCAGGTGAAACCTTTGCTGGCATAGTTTTTCAAACCGTCTGGGTTGCAGCTATTTGGGACCAGGGTTGCCACCAACTGTTAAGTGTGTACTATAGGAACTAGTGTTAAACTGTTTGAAACAAATCCAGTACAGAAAACAATACATTGTGGAAAGATTCCCCAACTGGATATTTTCCCCCTGTCACTGGCAATAAAGCTTCCTTTGCAGTATATTCTCAGTCTGTGTCGCCATATATTTGTTATGGTTGTATAAAAATACTATATCAATGAGCAAATCACACTATATTGTGGCACTATGTACATACAGTAATTAGACTCCTTAAAAAGGTATGTTTATAGAAATATATGTGGAGCAAGAGAACCAACAACAAACAGGTGAAGAAAGGTCAGAACACAATATCAATTTACTTTTATTTTAAGACCTACTAATGATAGTCAAACTCTTTATTTATCATGTCATATTATTGAAGTGGAGAAAACCAAATCAATGAGCAAACTGATTGGTTGGTCAGAACCCCTTCATCTATACCCTCATAAAGCATGTGCACCCCACATTGCATTGCTTCTAATGCATGAGAGATACTATATCTGCAGTATTGTAATATTGTATCCCCTCCTGCTTTGTGTGTATTTATTTCGCATCTTTTACTTCCTCCCTTGACCAGTGTCGATTTTAGACTGTCTACTGTTTTTGTCAGATGGTTTGAGGGACAAAATACAACTGTGAAAAAATACAGACTCAAATTCAAAGACTTTGGTACATGATTCAATATCCTCTCTCCACAGCAAAAGTGTGATAATATCATAAAGTGTTTCTTGTACTAAAATTAGGGGGCCGGGTGGAACCTGAAGGATCACTATCACAAAGTCCCAGGCCTGTTCCAAAGTCAACTCCTAAAGCTTCTGCTAAGGACTCAAGCCAGAGGCCTACCCCAACCACACAGCAGCCCCAGACCCCAGTCAACAAGTCAGGGCAAGCCCAGACCAGGAGGCCTGGGGGCTCAACAACCACCTCCAGCACAGCCTGCCAAGCCTGCACCTCCAAGACAGCGCATCTCAGCGCCTCAGCTCCAACCCGAGTTCAAGGCACCTCCACAGGCCTCAGCCATGCCCCAGCCTGAGCCACTGGCCCAACCCCAAAATGAGCCACCGACTCAGGCACAAGGGAAGGACCTGAGCCCTGAGCAGAGCCAGCCTCCAGTGGTAGAGCAGCCAACATCAGAGGAAAATGCACAGGCACATCCACCGCTGAAGTAAGAACACATTGGCAGCAACAGTTTGAAAATACTTAGTTCCGACATAATTAAAAGGTTAAACCAAAAAGAAGAGCCTGTATCTAACAAATATAATGCTCTACAGTCAATTTGTGAGGTTATTTGTTCTGACAAAAAATGTGGCTTACTACTGATTGTAATCACTTATTTTCTTTTGTTTTCCAGTAAATCTCAGTCCCTGACCAACGCCTTTGGTCTGAAGGAAACATCCTTCTTTCGCACAGCCAGTGAAGACGTGGCCAAGGCTGAGACCATGCGCAACTTGAGGAAGTCTTTTGCAAGTCTGTTCTCTGACTAGACGCAGTGCGGGTTAAATAACCCTGAAACAGACGGATTGAAAAATGAGGTACCGAAACCACTATCTGTTTCATCAACCTCACAAAGTGTTACAGTAACCTCCTTCCTGTTTATCTAGATACATACGTACTGTGCATGCTATATCATTACAGTCATATTGAAGTCAGGTTAAACAACAGTGATGTAGGCTACAATTAATGGTATGACTTCTTGAGATGCAAGTCGAGAGATGAAAAGGTGTGTTGATCATGCAATAATGTGGGCATCACTGTTGGGCAGATGAGGATCAAACTATCTGTAATTCTGTATCACATTCCATGTGCATTTATGACTTTTGAATGTTGTAGCTTTATTGTAAATGTGTTTAATAGTTTGGATGTGTACGGTCTGTCATTAGCATAAGGAGATTACAACACTCATTTAAAGTCTCTCTTATTTTGACATATGCTCTCAAATCACTAATTGACTAAACTAACTGTATGTTTCTACAGAGACGGGAATCCATAGCCATTATTGACTAATGCCTGGTTATATGTGTCTTCAAGTACACGTCGACATAAACTGTTCAATCTGGAGTTCTATTTGAGTGGTATTGTTATAAGCATTTGGCTTTGTTTGTAGACAGTATTGTTGACATGATTATATCCACTGATTGGTTTCTGCAGTCCTACAACTCTTAATAAAGTTACAATGCATCAATAAGCAAAGTGACTCTACGGGGCCTACTCATTCTATGCATTAGAAATGCATAAGTAACCCATGGAATTCTATTTAAAGTGCTATTTCTTGAGTTAAAAATGAATAGGTTACACAGTAATATTAACCCCTAAAAGAGGCAACATATTTTTTGCTTAAAAGCACCAAATTGGTAATGATAGCAAAGACACTGTTTGTCAAGCAGTAACACCTTTTATTTTATTTTATTAGCCTTATGTGACACAAGTAAATGGTTTAAAATCCCTAAAATAAGCATATATCTGAAAAATATAGTCAAATCTGAAGTTTAAAAATACAGGTTTTTGTATGTTTTTTTAAATGTTTTTAACAGATATTTTGATCAATTGGATCCATTGCCACATGTTATGAACATTTGTCTGTTATTCATTCAAAGTGTTGTGTTTCTGTTGTACTCAGAGGCTCAGAAATTGGCGATTGAGCTAATCTGACATACCTGTTTGACCTAAAATGCCCACCGATATGGTCGATCAGGGTTGGGGAGTAACTAATTACATGTAATCTGGTTACAAAAAAACTGTAACTGTAATCCGTTACGTTACCAGCTAAAATATTGTAATCAGATTACAGATACTTTTGAAAAACTAGATTACTTCTTGGATTACGTTTAAATTCAGAAAGGATTATTGCGAAAATAAATACATTATGACACCTTTCTATTTTCTCAATGACATTCAATACAGCATTGAAAAAAGGTGCAAGTTTAAGTTTGTTCCACCTGAGTGAGTCTGACCACAAGTCAGAGACCACTATGATGACACACCAAATGTATTTGATGGATCCTTTTACATTTACATTTACATTTACGTCATTTAGCAGACGCTCTTATCCAGAGCGACTTACAAATTGGTGCATTCACCCTATAGCCAGTGGGATAACCACTTTACAATTTTTATTTTATTTTTTTTTGGGGGGGGGGTAGAAGGATTACTTTATCCTATCCCAGGTATTCCTTAAAGAGGTGGGGTTTCAAAGTCTCCGGAAGGTGATGAGTGACTCCGCTGTCCTGGCGTCATGAGGGAGCTTGTTCCACCATTGGGGTGCCAGAGCAGCGAACAGTTTTGACTGGGCTGAGCGGGAACTATGCTTCCGCAGAGGAAGGGGAGCCAGCAGGCCAGAGGTGGATGAACGCAATGCCCTCGTTTGGGTGTAGGGACTGATCAGAGCCTGAAGGTACGGAGGTGCCGTTCCCCTCACAGCTCCATAGGCAAGCACCATGGTCTTGTAACGGATGCGAGCTTCAACTGGAAGCCAGTGGAGTGTGCGGAGGAGGGGGGTGACGTGAGAGAACTTGGGAAGGTTGAACACCAGACGGGCTGCGGCATTCTGGATGAGTTGTAGGGGTTTAATGGCACAGGCAGGGAGCCCAGCCAACAGCGAGTTGCAGTAATCCAGACGGGAGATGACCAGTGCCTGGATTAGGACCTGTGCCGCTTCCTGTGTAAGGCAGGGTCGTACTCTCCGAATGTTGTAGAGCATGAACCAGCAGGATCGGGTCACCGCCTTGATGTTAGCGGAGAACGACAGGGTGTTGTCCAGGGTCACGCCAAGGCTCTTCGCACTCTGGGAGGAGGACACAACGGAGTTGTCAACCGTGATGGCGAGATCATGGAACGGGCAGTCCTTCCCCGGGAGGAAGAGCAGCTCCGTCTTGCCAGGGTTCAGCTTGAGGTGGTGATCCGTCATCCATACTGATATGTCTGCCAGACATGCAGAGATGCGATTCGCCACCTGGTTATCAGAAGGGGGAAAGGAGAAGATTAGTTGTGTATCGTCAGCGTAGCAATGATAGGAGAGGCCATGTGAGGATATGACAGAACCAAGTGACTTGGTGTATAGGGAGAAAAGGAGAGGGCCTAGAACTGAGCCCTGGGGGACACCAGTGGTGAGAGCACGTGGTGCGGAGACAGCTTCTCGCCACGCCTTTTGGTCTTCTTCTAATGCCTCTTAAGGGGAAAGTAATCAAAAAGTAACTGAAAGTAATCCGATTACGTTACTGAGTTTGGGTAATCCAAACGTTACATTACAGATTACAATTTTGGACAGGTAACTAGTAACTGTAACGGATGCTTTTATCACCAAGTTTATTATATATTTAGTCCACACTTTCACCTTAAAAATATATGTGCACCACTAGCATACAAAAACATTGATTATTTTTAATTCCTCTATATTAACACAGAAATCATGGCAAATGTTTTGTTTTTTTGTCTGTAACTACACTGAACAAAAATATAAACGCAATATGAAACAATTTCAAAGATTTTACTGAGTTACAGTTCATATAAGGAAATCAGTTAATTGAAATGAATTCATTAGGCCCTAATCTATGGATTTTACATGACTGGGAATACAGATGTGCATCTGTTTGTCACAGATACCTTTAAAAAAAAAATGTAGGGGCATGTTTCAGAAAACCAGTCAGCATCTGGTGTAACCACCATTTGCCTTTTGCAGCGCAACACATCTCCTTTGCATAAAGTTGATCAGGCTGTTGATTGTGGCCTGTGAAATGTTGTGTCACTCCTCTTCAATGGTTGTGCGAAGTTGCTTGATATTGGCAGGAACTGGAACACGCTGTCCGTACACGTCGATCCAGAGCATCCCAAACATGCTCAATGGGTGACATGTCTGGTGAGTATGCAGGCCATGGAGGAACTAGGACATTTTCAGCCTCCAGGAATTGTGTACAGATCCTTGAGACATGGGGCCGTGCATTATCATGCTGAAACATGAGGTGATGGCGGATGAATGACACGACAATGGGCCTCAGGATCTCGTCATGGTATCATTCAAATTGCCATCGATAAAATGCAATTGTGTTCGTTGTCCGTAGCTTATGCCTGCCCATGCCATAACCCCACCGCCACCATTGGGTACTTGTTCACAACGTTGACATTAGCAAACTGCTTGCCCACACGGCTCCATACACGAGGTCTGCGGTTGTGACGCTGGTTGGATGTACTGCCAAATTCTCTAAAACGACGTTGGAGGCAGCTTATGGTAGAGAAATGAACATTGAAATCTCTGGCAATACCTCTCGTGGACATTCCTGCTGTCATCATGCCAATTGCATGCTCTCTCAAAACTTGAAACATCTGTGGCATTGTGTTGTGTGACAAACCTGCACATTTTAGAGTGGCCTTTTATTGTCCCCAGCACAAGGTGCACCTGTGTAATGATCATGCTGTTTAATCAGCTTCTTGATATGCCACACCTGTCAGGTGGATGGATTTTCTTGGAAAAGGAGAAATACTCACTAACAGGGATGTAAACAAATTTGTGCACAAAATTTGAGAGAAATACGCTTTTCTTTGCGTATGGAAAATGTTGGTTATCTTTTATTTCAGCTCATGAAACTTGGGTCCAACACTTTACATGTTGCATTTATATTTTTGTTCAGTGTGATTGCTTGACAGTCAAAACATTTCAGAAGGATAAAAAGTTGGTTTAGAAATTATGACATTTTTGGACCACTTCGTGTCAAAATGGACCCCTGTTGGCGCTTTTAGGGTTAACCACTGTCTACTGCAGGCCTATGGATTTCTGTGTACTGCTGCTCTGAATACAGTGCTTCACACCAGTATTCATATGAGAATCAAACAATCTCATAAAGGAGTCTACAGTAGGCCACATCATTGTACTCTTCCAGCGTACCTATCAAATCAGTTAGAGCAACAGGTTTGTCTCCAGTGTTCCGTGAAGTATGATTCCAAAGTCCAACCCGCAAATTGATGGGGGAAGGGAAGTATGCAGGCCATAAAGTGCGCGAGGGGAACTTCTGTCATTTAGATACTGGCCGCATGACCCAAATGCAACATGCAGAGCCCTGGCCTATAATTCAGCAACCACGGGATCAAGAAACAGGAACGAATATGGCGCCATATGTGAATGAAGCTGTACAAGTGCATGGTGAAGAGTTGTAAGGATATTTTTGTGTAGAAGAAGACCAGGACAGGTAGGCTAGGCTACATCAGCCTTGAATAATTCTGATACGTGATAATATAGACTGCCTGGCTCAGGCTAAAGGTGAACAAGTGAAACTGATGCCTGTCAATGCTATTCATAAACTGATACGGTTCTTAGATCGATCAAATGCTAATTTGTTTCATTTGACAATTTATCTAGACCTATTTACATTGGCATACAAAACATTGTTGGATTATAATAAGGATTTCCATTGTGAATTTAAATGTTAGCTTTGTCTGTAAATCAAACTACAAAAAGGCTACTGTCAGCTTTTGAGTTTGACAAAGATTTCATTTATTTCAATTTAAATTACTATATTTATATTATATTGTAAGTCCCTTGTAGCTCGGTTGGTAGAGCATGGCGCTTGCAACGCCAGGGTTGTGGGTTCGTTTCCCACGGGGGGCCAGTATGAAAATGTATGCACTCACTAACTGTAAGTCACTCTGGATAAGAGCGTCTGCAAAATGTATAATCGAGACCTCTATATGATCACCATAATTCGGGTGTTCCCAAGTTTACCAACGTAATAATAAAAATATACCATTTAGCAGACGCTTTTATCTAAAGTGACTTACAGTCATGTGTGCATATACATGTTTACGTCCCGGGGTTCAAATCCACTACCCTGGCGTTACAAGGGCCATGCTCTACCAATTGAGCTACAGAGGACCACTTTTAACACACTAACTATTAAAATCATTCCACTTAGGTAACAAGACTGCTCCACAGGACTTTGTCAGTCTTCTGTTTAGGTATGTGTAGATCATTTATCATCATTATGTAAGATATACACGCATGCACACACACACACACACTTACACACACACTCACACATTTGTTTTACTATCCTTGTGGGGACCAAACAATTGATTCCCATTCAAAGTCCTATTTTCCCTAACCCTGACCTTAACCCCTAACCCTTACTCCTAAACATAACCCCTAACCCTAATTGTAACCCTAACCCTAAACCTAACCCCTAAGGCTAAAATATCATTTTTCCTTGTGGGGACCGGCGAAACACACACACACACATTTGACAATTTATCTAGACCTATTTGCATTGGCATACAAAACATTGTTGGATTATAATAAGGATTTCCATTGTGAATTTAAATGTTAGCTTTGTCTGTAAATCAAACTACAAAAAGGCTACTGTCAGCTTTTGAGTTTGACAAAGATTTCATTTATTTCAATTTAAGTTACTATATTTATATTATATGGAAAGTCCCTTGTAGCTCAGTTGGTAGAGCATGGCGCTTGCAACGCAAGGGTTGTGGGTTCGTTTCCCACGGGGGGGCAGTATGAAAATGTATGCACTCACTAACTGTAAGTCACTCTGGATAAGAGCGTCTGCTAAATGACTGAAATGTATAATCGAGACCTCTATATGATCACCATAATTCGGGTGTTCCCTAGTTTACCAACTTAATAATATGCCATTTAGCAGATGCTTTTATCCAAAGCAACTTACAGTCATGTGTGCATACATTTTTACGTATGGGTGGTCCCGGGGATCGAACCCACTACCCTGGCGTTACAAGCGCCATGCTCTTCCAATTGAGCTACAGAGGACCATTTCTAACACACTAACTACTAAAATCATTCCACTTAGGTAACAAGACTGCTCCACAGGACTTTGTCAGTCTTCTGTTTAGGTATGTGTAGATAATTTATCATCATTATGTAAGATATACACGCATGCGCACACACACACACACACACACACACACACTTACACACACACTCACACGTTTGTTTTACTATCCTTGTGGGGACCAAACAATTGATTCCCATTCAAAGTCCTATTGTCTCTAACCCTGACCTTAACCCCTAACCCTTACTCCTAAACATAACCCCTAACCCTAATTGTAACCCTAACCTTAATTGTAACCCTAACCCTAAACCTAACCCCTAAGGCTAAAATATCATTTTTCCTTGTGGGGACCGGCGAAACACACACACACACACAGTTTACATCGCACACAGCACAGGTTTGAGCATGTGCAAGACCTATTTGAGCATGTTAGAGGTTGTAATTGGGTCTTGTACTGGGAATGGATGCCTATTAGAAAACAAAAGTACTAGAATTAGCATTTGATGCATCACACTGAAAGCCTGGCCCTCTTTCCCACAAATGTATAATCAAATGATGCATTGCCTCTTGATTTATGGCCAATGCTGCCCATGAAAGTGTGACTCATGACTTTTGAAAGACAATAGCTACATATAACAGAAAGGCCATTTATCATCCTACAATCAGAGATTTCTACAGAGAGAGAGTGAGAGAGAGAGTAGTTAGGCCTGTCTTTCTTTGAGTTGAAGTGAACATGGCTATATTGACCTGTCTCTACTAAAGCATTTAAAGATCTGTCTGTGTTTTCTATAAAAGAGGAGAAATGTTATAAGTGTCTAAGATATTCTTACTGTCCCCATTAATACAGAAGGTTTACTGACAGTGGGGCTGAGAGTACCTACCAGGGGGCGGATTAGTTAAGCACTACAGTAAGATGAATGAAACCATTCTTAAAGTGCATGAATGTGTTTGCCCTGAATCTAGTGTACAGTACATAACTAGATCCATATCAGTGTGAATGTAGAATTAGTCCAATTATATTTCTTAGTTTTAACAGGCTAAAGTTACAGTACAGTTACAACGGTGGTGGTAATGAATGGTTTGCCTTTTCTGATGTCTCATTGACAGCTTTATTTATAGTGAATGGTGATAGTTATACTGTTGGATGACCTTTCTCTTTTAACACTGCTGTCTAGTGTCTTCTAATCCAGAGATGGTGGACACACAGAGAGTTGCGTGGTCCATGATGAATTTTGGGCTGGGCACGTTGGACCTGGCAGAGATGGACAACAGGATGAATAGTTTTGACATGAAGACCCTATCGACGCTGGACTACCCTTATCTCCCCTCTCTCGAGTACAGCTACAGCAGTCCCCATCACCACAGCCCAGACAGAAGTCACTCATTCAACCACAGCTTAGACAGAAGTCACTCATTCAACCACAGCCCAGACAGAAGCCACTCAGACAACTACACCTACAGCGAGTATCAATGTAAGTCGAAGTCTGTCATTTACGAAAACTAAGAGTGTAATAACTTAATGATCTATCCACATCAATTTCATCTTGTGTTAAAGCAATTGCCACACATTTTGAATGGCACTCTTTTCTTTTGCCTGTGATATTATGTATGTTGTTTAGGTTTGGTAAAAGATGAGCCCATGTCGCCTCAGTCTAGCGACTGTAGCATTGTCGGCCTGTCCAGACCCCCTCCTCACTCCAAGCCCCCTACTTACACAGACGCCAGCTCTCTGCTCAACATTGACTGTAGAGTGTGTGGGGACAAGGCTTCAGGCTTCCACTATGGCGTCCATGCCTGTGAGGGCTGCAAGGTAGGACTGAGACCTAGCTACTTTGGTTCTGGTGGCTTGTCAATATGTATTTGTATTGTGTATGCTTGGAGCTATAGAAATGTATTGCTATGTAACCTCCAGGGGTCATATTAGTAAGGATTTAACCCCTGAAACATAAACACGCACCCTGACCCTTGGATTAATGTCAAGCTCACGGTTTACACTGTTACATTTCTTTCAATTTTTTCCTGAAAAATAAATATAGCCGACTGCTGCTGTAAGATTCTACAATCAACATGTTCTCTGCCTTTCTCTTAGGGATTCTTCCGCAGAACTGTGCGGTTAAAACTGGTGTATGACCACTGTAATCTGCACTGTCGGATTCACAAAAAGAGCCGGAATAAGTGCCAGTACTGTCGCTTTCAAAAATGTCTGCTAGTGGGCATGTCACACGATGGTAAGCCACCACATTGTTGGGTAAAATAGATTTGTCTACAAAGATTTGTAAGATTCATGCTTTGTCATACATGATAACGCCAAAGCTGCGCGTTATGTAAGGGTTTTTGGCTACTCCAATTCATTTTGCCTAAAGCTCATACATTTTTTTGTTTGTCTTGCACTAAATTTGGAAGGGATAGATAGCAACCATAAGCCCATTCCGTCTGCTTTAGCTGGTCACATGATGTGTTTGAACATTGCATTTGATCTACTTTTAAATATAGCCTACTTATGTTGGGCAAATCAGGTAAAAATGCAATTTCATACTGTTTGTATGTCAGTGGTACGCAGTCAGTCCACTATCTCAGCGACAGCTTGCTATTGGTGATTTATAGGTTAGTTTGTATAACAGTGGTCTTTGTACTCTTTTAGTACCTGTGATGGGACAACTGCTGGCAGCCACACGAAAGCTCTCAGGAGATGTTGTCATGTCGTTCAGACATTTCTTGTTTAAAAAAAAATAATATTTGTGTATTTGTATTGTGTTTGCTAGACATTCTACTGCACTGTTGGAGATGCTAACACAAGCATTTCGCTGCACCTGCTATAACACCTGCAAATCTGAGTACACGGCCAATAAACGTAGATTTGATTTGTCATCAGTTGACATTGCTCAGTTACGCAATATGTGCACGCAACTTTGTCTCAGGTCATCCATATAATGGTGAGGAATTATCCCATTTTTGTTCAGGTCAATATTTGTATGTAATCAATGATTAATTAAGACAGATATTGTGGCTATGACATAAAATGCTTAGTCAGATGGGCTGGACTCCAAATGGAGACCATGAGAACTATTGTAAACGTTGATAAGCCCTTCTGCAACAGTATTTGTTATACAACCACAATATGAGTAACACCCACTCACAGGGCACTCTCTGAAACAAAGGGGTGACAGGGTTTGTTGTCCTATTTGATAACACTTATTTAATGTCGGGTGTTACACAAAATCAATATGAACTGTTTCAATAGTCGTTGTCTGAAAAGGGCCTTTAGACTTTGGAAAGGTTTCTACACAGTGGGATGAAGTATATTCCTTCTTTAGCCAACCTATTTGTCATTGTCTTGTTTGGGCAGGCAGTGTTGTTAGCATTGTTCAAGACAGAAAGAGTCTGACTGGCACCCAGGCTAAACTGTAAACCTCCCTGATGTCCTCATGCAGCTATCCGCTTCGGCCGGATGCCCCAGGTGGAGAGAGAGAAGCTGCAGGCTAAGTTGATGAATGTAGACCCCAGGAACCCAGAGTCAGCGGACCTGAGAGCCCTGTCCAGACAGCTGTGTCTGTCCTACCACAGACACTTTCCCCTGACCAAGAGCAAGGCCAGGGCCATCCTCTCTGGAAAGACCCACGGAAACTCAGTAAGGGCCCAATTGTTACTTGAGATACTGTACATGCACACACAGTGTTACATGAATTATGCGTTGATGTCAATGGGACATTTGGGAGATCAATCAGAACAGACCCATTGAAAGCCACTTCACCTCTCTCTCTCTCTCCTCTCTCTCTCCTCTCTCTCGCTCTCTCTCTCTCTGTCTCTCTCACACACACACTCAAACACACACGCTCAAACACACACACCAGACATTTGGTTCTATTTATTTGAATATCACAGTTTTTGGTAGATCCACTCTGTCCTGATTTACTGGTAGCAAAATATCAAAGTACTGTAGGAAGCAGTAATATTGGGTCATGTCAGTTTGTCTAAGAGGAAATAACTAATAGACAGTTATTAATAACATAAAAGTCACCATTTTAATTTCCCTCTTATTTCCTAGTTAGATGAATAACCCCTTGTGCACCAAGCAAGGTGCCTAATACTAAATCACTACTAAGTGCCAAGAGAATGAATCACAATGGATGGAAATGCTTCTTCACATAGTTAATTACCTATGGGATGTCTCTCTTTTCTTCTAGCTGTTTGTCATCCACGACATGAAGTCTCTGACGGTGGGTCAGTACTTTATAAACTGTAGACAGCTCCCAGTACTGGAGCACCAGGGGTCCGTCCTGCCCCCTGAGGAGCCTGCTGGAGAGCTGGAGCTCTCCTTCTTCCGCCGCATCCAGTTCCGTTCCGCCGAGGCCGTACAAGAGGTCACAGAGTTCGCCAAGAGCATCCCTGGGTTCACAGAGCTGGACATGAACGACCAGGTGATCCTGCTGAAGTACGGGGTCATCGAGGTCATGACGACTATGCTGGCGCCGCTCATGAACAAGGACGGCACACTGTTTGCCTATGGACAAATCTTCATGACCCGGGAGTTCCTCAAAAGCCTGAGGATGCCCTTCTGTGAGATGATGGAGCCCAAGTTTGAGTTTGCGGTAAAGTTTAACGTGCTGGAGCTGGACGATAGTGATATGGCGCTTTTCTTCGCTGTCATCATCCTCAGTGGAGGTGATTGTTTTTCAGTTATACATTTATGTGTTTATATTAGATGCCAACTGCAATATTAGCTTTTTTATTGTGCAGAGATGGCTTGATTGGACTTGAGACCAGATATAAAGTAATGGTGTCCTCTTTTGTGCTGTATCGTTTCAATTGACCTTGGACTTTGCTCATCAGGTCATTGTAACTTCAGATCATTTGCTGTATACTGTATGTCCAATCCTCCTCTATTTCCCTCCCTCTCTTCTCCCACTCTCCACTCTCTACTCTAGACCGTCCAGGCCTGGTGAACGTGAAGCCCATTGAGGACCTCCAGGACACAGTGCTGCAGGCCCTGGAGCTGCAGCTGAAGACCATCCACCCAGACTGCCCCCAGCTGTTTGCCAAGCTACTGCAGAAGATGACCGACCTGCGGCAGCTGGTGGCCAACCAAGTTCGCCTCATCCACCTGCTCAAGAAGCAGGAGCTGGAAATGTGTCTGCACCCCCTACTGCAGGAGATCATGAGAGACCTGTACTAAAGCAGTGGGGGACTCAGTTTAACAGCTATGAAGAAAAGAAGACTGCACACTGTGATATATACCGTAGTACAGTATTATCCCAAGTGTGATTATTAGAACAATGTGTAGACCCTTATAGATCTTTAACTAGCCTGGTCCCAGATCTGTTGGTGCTTTAGTCAACTCCTCCGTGTCATGTATGTCATAACATCAATAGTCACTGAGACCAGGCTAGTCTTCGTCAGGGTCTTCATTAAACCGAATGTCTGGCTTCAGAAGTGACCTCCATGACAAGACCCGCACTGCAGCTCCACTGAACCCTCTGTTTGATATTCAGTAAGGGGAAAGTCTGGTTGCTTGGAAGGGTCTTTGAACTGTATTACATTGTGAATTAATCATTACAAAGCTTCTTACCATCTCGTTGTTGCTGCAGCTATTCAGTCTTCTGCTGTGCTTTTTAATTAAAGGGATGAAAGAAGAAATACTTTTAATTGCAGGGCATTCATTGGAGCATTCTACAATCAAATAAAGCCTGGCTAAAGATGTAATATATTGTGTAAACAATGTGTTATCTTAATACATTTTGTTCATGATATTGATTTGTAATAATAACAATAATAACTTTATTTGTATAGCGCTTTTCAATACAGTTAACAAAGTGCTTCACATCATAAAATCATAAAATAAAAGTAACAAAGGAAGGAGAATGAAAAAAGATAGCTAATTAAAATCATACATTGAAATAATTTGTTAAATACAGTATATTGTGTCTTTCCTTGTCTTTGAAGCATTCTTTTCCTCAACGTGACCCTCTCTAAACATGTCAGTGTATAATGCATCCATCTTTTTGCCTAACATAGTATATAACATCTACTACCATGGACATATATCCTGTGTTATTTAAATGACCTGTATAAACAATACTAATATCCTTTCTAATAAATAAATAAAAGTATAGTTCAATGTTGCCATCTGCTGGTGAATATATTCTGTTGCTTTATGACGTTATGCAATGTCATGATATACCACTGTTGCTGACACATGGTGAAATGTTCCAGCGCTTATGTTAGGGTGACTTGAATGACTTTATGAATATTGCTATACATAGTGTATTTGAACTACAATGAGATATGGCATGGTTAAAATACTTTAGTTACATCATTGGGGAAATGGTACAATAGTTATGTACAATAGAGTGATCCTTTGTAGCTCAGTTGGTAGAGCATGGCCAGGGTAGTGGGTTTGATTCCCGGGAACACCCATAAGGAAAATGTATATAAGTTGCTTTATGCCATCTGCTCAATGGCATATATTATATTGCCACTTTGAATTATTAATGTGCATAACAGGTAGTAGACCTGCAGGACACACTTATCTACAGTGTTATAAGTGTCTATCCTTTGAATATTTATTTAAATGTAGATGCCAAAAACCTGTGTCATCAGGATTTGTATAGCCAACCAATGCCTTGTCTATTTCTGTGTTCAGGCACAGGGAACATGCATTTTGATTGACAGCTTTTGTTTTGAGTGAACCCAGTCTTTATATGGTTCATCCTTAAGCTGTATTTGGTATTTGTTTGTATTGTTTGCTGGGTCTCCATTGAGGGAACCAGGAAGGACATCAGCTCCAGGGATCACCCTACTGGGCCTGACATGAGCTACTGTCACAATGCCCATGGCTGTTTTCTGTCTCGGTGGACACCTGTGCTCTGCAGATCAGATGTTGTGTCTCCACCAGCATGGATCTGGCCACTGTGTCTGTTTGTGTGTGTGCATGTGTGTGTTTTTAAAGGGATATCTGCACAAGGGTTGCAAAGATGGCTTTGTTGTATGTGCAAGAGGATGCCTTGTATTTGTGCTTGTGCTTGTAGATATTGAATAGTGTAGCCCACTTTTAGCCCCCTGGATCTGCTACAGCACCCACTGTGTGAGGAGCTGCATGTGTAAAAGCTACGTAGACAGCAACATGATCACAGCCTGCCGCCAGGTGGAGCTCTTGTCACCAGAGCTCCACCTTGCGCCAGATCAGAGTTTGATCTTTGTATTCTATTGCTTGTCTTATTTTTAGCAGTCTCTGTGGCCTGTCAGAAAGCAGAAATAGAACAGTTAAACACACAGATAGCAAAACTCCACAGAAATAGAAGCCAAAAGGCCAGCCAATGAAGATAGCTTTGGCCTTGCGTTTCACAACTTTCGATTACACCATGGCTATTTTTCCCTTCCCTTTTTTGAGACACATGATTCAGTGAGATAAAATAAATCACATTACTAATTGCGAAAGATAGCTAGCTGGAGTGATGGTCAGGTAAGTAACGTTAGACTCACACTGCTTTTACTTTGAAACCGCTAGAACCAGTGTTGCCAACTCCTCAGTAAGGAAAGTAGCTATTGGCTGTCCTAAAAGTTAACTAGAAGTCGCTAATTTGCATAATTGGCCATGTGCATGTAATTGTGATGGACGCTGTAGGAGAGAGGAATAACATCGTGGGAGAGACAAAAAGTGAGTAAAAAACACCCTAAATATGTTTTATCTTTCTTCTATCGATTCTTGTTTTTTGTAATGTTTTACATTTACATCCCGCCCTGAATGTAAGCCAGGGCGGGATCAGCCAGTAGCGACTTCCCGCATGCGCGATTAATTTGCAGTCTGGACGCGGAGGGGTGAACATCTCCTGCTCTGACTGCAGCTGGGAGGGACTGCTGCGTGAGGACTTGGCCGCCTGTGAGTGCTTTGGGTCCCACGGCAGCACCCGCTGACGGCAGCACCCGCTGCTCGTTGAGAAGAGTAAGAACGATACGTGCTTTCACGTCAGAGTCTCCAAAAGTCTCCAATAACACCAGAAAAAGTCGCTAGATTTGTCGCTAGTCGCTTTTTTGAAAATGTGTAGCTAGAGGGGTCTGAATACTCGCTAAATATAGCGACAAAGTCGCTAAGTTTGCAACACTGGCTAGAACATGTATCCTGTGGCAGCCCCTCCTCTCCACGCCCACACCGTGTCTGTTCATTAATTCAATCTTGTGGAAGACATAGAAAAATGAATTAGTGTAATCGAATAATCAATAATTAATCTTCGTTGTTTAAGTTCGGATATTGACTGAACGAACTGTACACGGATCCTATTGCTTATGCCGTGTCACTAATCAATGGAGCGATTTCAGTGCCAACATAAATTGTATTTGAATTCCATAATTTAGAATGTTTATTTGGATATTGAATTTGAATTAAACTTGTATTTCATGATTTTAAACTGAATTGAATAAGTATTTCAATTTAATAGAATATTCAAATTCAATATTTATATGTTGAGTTTCAATATGGTAAATATTGAATTCATTGTCTGTTTATCAGGTTTATCAAAGTTTTATATATTCAACTTCCCAGATTCAAAGTTTTCAAATTCAGCTCTCTAAATTCAGATGATTAAAAACCAGAGACATCATCCTGGTACTTTACCAGCCAGGAAACGTAGAGGAGAACAGATACAATCAAATGCTCTCCATGGTAAATGGAAGCTTCTGGTGGGTTCTGAAGCCAATGTGGCATGTAGAATTGTTTTTCTTCCTATGGTCTGAATACTTATGTAAATAAGGTATTTCTGTTTTTTGTTTTTTTTAAATTTACTAAAATTCTAAAAACCTGTTTCAACTTTGTCATTATGGGGTATTTTGTGTAGATTGATGAGGAAACAATTTAATGTAATCCATTTTAGAATAAGGCTGTAACATAACAAAATGTGGAAAAAGTCAGCGGGTCTGAATACTTTCCGAATGCACTGTATACAAAAACAATAGACAACTGAATCTGAATGCATCTGAGAAGTTGAATATATAAAAGTTTGATCAACTTGAAATTATAGTTTGTAAACTTGATGCACAGACAATGAATGCAATATTTACCATATTGAAACTGAATGTATAAATATTTAAATAGAATTTTCAATAAATTGCAATATTCATTCAATTCAGTTTCAAATCATGAAATACAAGTACAATTTATGAATTCAATGATTCAATGTGTGCATTACAACAACAAAAAATATTGTATTTAAATTCAATATCCAGATACAATTCAATTTTTTTTTTTCAAATACTATTTCTGCTGTTACTAAAATCGTTTCCATAGCAATCCCCTTGTTAGGTCTGATAACCACCTGAGATGCAGGCTGGGCTGACTCTGAGGCCAGGCTGGATAAAAACATCATTATAGAACACAAGAGCATAATAGTCTATGACTGCATAGGTGTGTGCATGTTTATAGGGCAATTTAGCACATAAGAAGAAGCTTCAACTAAAGTGTTACCCAATAGTTTTGTTGAGATGGGTTATCAGTTAGTCCCATCTCTCCACCAAGTGTGTCTTTCTCCTCTCTCTGATAGGCTGTTTTTCCAGTGGGCTTGCCAATAGCTGTGAAGCACCTAGTGCCATTGCCCAATGGTGGAATCCCCTAGTGGCGTGTCTGAACTGGATCCACGGTGTGATTGCACCACACTGCTACTGCAACAGCAAACATTGCACCCAGCCACAAAGTCTTGCACATGTATGGGCTCCTACTGAGAGGCAGTGCACAGAGACAGGCAGCATGTAGTCTAATGGTGGAGATCAGTGTCTCAACATTTTGTATATGTCTGGGACCATTAAGATTAAAACAAGCACTTGAGAGCAGACAAAATCAGTGTCAGCTAACCATCTGAGGCCCAACTAGTCAGCAACTTTTACCAGTCAGTAGCAACAAAGAACGGAAGGTTTTGAACACTTGTGCAATTTAGTTTAACTTACTTTTATTAAAAGAACCTGGAATAAACAACATTCTCACCACGTTTACAATAAAATGCTTAACCTCCTAAAAGAGACATGGCAGACAAAATGCAAATTAGATTTCAAATATTTTTTGTACATATTAAAGACAACTGCCTAATATCCAGCTTGTGATGGTTTACCCAAAGAGAAGGCTGATTAAAATGTGTGGGTAAATACTGATCAGAACTCTCAGCAAAGCCATGAACCAATCACATGGACCCTAGCTTTAGTTAAAATGTGCACATAAAAAACAGGCTATCATTTTTCCTGAATAAAAAAAGAATAAAAGCATGAAGATGAAGACTGATAATCATTTAATATCTCTATCTGATTTAAGACAATGTACAATCAAATACCCCTGCGAAACCAACGATTGCATCACACTGTTTGTTTTTGATAAGAATCACCCTAGGAGGTGAGGTTGTGCAGGGTCTTCGTCTAGGCTTCATCTCCTCTTCAGGGAGGTCAGCTTAGAGAAGCTCTTCTTCATAATAAACCAAGGCAGTCAGTCCCTGTCAGTCAGACAGAAAGGTGTGCTTCACAGCGCAGAGAGAGAGCTACATATTGCTCTCTCTCATGCGTTTCCTTCAAAGTCTCTGCCTCACTAACCTAAAGTAGCAGGCGTAAAAGAAACACCTGAGCAGCATTTCTTTCTTTCTGGTCCTGACGAGAGAAAAACACTGACGGGGGAGGTTATTTTATGCACTGTTGAACCAATCCAGTAAATCTGGAGGAGGAGTTAAGATGGAGTGTCGCCTTGTTAATGTCCAAAAGCATTACATTACATTTATCATCAATTGCACACACAGAATTGTCACCTTGTCGGATCTGGGATTCAAACTGGCAACCTTTTGGTTACTGGCCCAACGCTCTAACCATTAGGCCACCTGCCCAGCAAACAAAGTGGAAGTGGAAGTCGTGTCACAGGCTCTCTTTCCATTTCCCCTGAAAACCGGGTGCATCCGGTTGTTCCCGACCTACAGAGGGTGCTGCCTAACTGTCCCCAGGTAGGTGTGCTTTCTTTCACATATTTCACTAACTGCATTGCCAATCTGTCCATTGCACCCATATTAGCCATGGGGAAAATTAGGCCTCTGATTAACCCTATAACTGGGCAATAATTTCCTTCACTGTCAATCATCTTCTCCAACCCAATGGGTAGTTTTTCTCTGCTCTGCTCTCCACACCAAAACCTTCACTGACACAACTCAATCAGTGACTGAAATCCTATATTGATCCCATTCACTGTCACCTTTCCCCCCAGTCAGTCCTCTTCCTCTACGCCTTAGATATTCAATCTGTGTGTGTGTGTGTGTGTCTGCATGTGTGTGTCTGCGTATGTGTCTGCATGTGTGTGTATGCACACTCATGCACACGTGTGTATGTTTTGTAACAGGAGCAGGTAGGAGGGGCAGGTTGGGTACTGCAGTTCTAGAACACAGGCAGCCTGCTATAGGTTGATGTGAAGACATTGATGTCCTCGGTGTGGGAGGCTCTGTGCAGGGAGGGTTCTGAGGTACTGCGGTTGATCTTAGGCAGGGAGTGCTGGAGCAGCTCGATGGACGACAGGATCTGGAAGAGAGGGAAAGGGAGAGAAAGAGGGGGAGATTGGAAGCACTCCTAGCAAACGTGGAGGCATTTGGTACAGTGCCATCAACCCACTTCAGCCATTTTAGAAATGTTCTAAATAAAGATGGAGAGATAATGTAAAGAGAACACTCAGGTGTACCTGGGGGAACAGAGGCCTCTCGTCTTTGATTTTCTTGATGCAGTCAGCCACCAGCCTCTTCATGGCTTTGGGGCAGCTCTTATAAAGCTTACTGAGGTCTGGAGACAGGTACCCCCGGCCCACCATGAAGATGATCTGACAGGGGAGACAGAGATGAACGGTCACAGTGTTATTGTTTTCTGTGGAGGTCACAGTGAGTCCCTAATACTGTAATACCTGCTGTGACAAGAATGTGGTGATCTTATGACCAGGTGATATTGAAACAGCTCCATATAAGTCTGTCTGCACCACTGGTTGTGACAATACTACACTGAGGACAGGTGAGTCCTAAGATAATGTGAGCCAATCTTGACACAACTTGAGTATGGAGAGAGAGAGAGAGAGAGAGAGAGAGAGAGAGAGAGAGAGAGAGAGAGCTTTTATGTGGTCACTGCACGACAGGGGAAGTAGAGACAGAGATGCACTTCAGAGAGCTTTTATGTGGTCACTGCACGACAGGGGAAGTAGAGACAGAGATGCACTTCAGAGAGCGAGAGAGAGAGAGAGAGAGAGAGAGAGAGAGAGAGAGAGAGAGAGAGTGTGTATGTGGTCACTGCACAAAAGGGAAGTAGAGACAGAGATGCACTTCCTCCTCCATTGCAAAAAATATTATTCAGCAAGAGTCATTCTCAATTTATAAAAAAAGATATAGCATTATTAAACCCAGAGGAACATTTTAAAATACTCATGAGTGAAGGAGCAATGGCTCCTCTTGCAGCCAAATATGTATTTGCCTGCCATAGCCTGAGTAACTAAATCTGTATCAATAAGCAGTAACATTTGATATTATTATTGTTATTGCTATTATTGTTGTTATTATTGCCGTGATCCAAATGGTAGTGGTAAGGGTAGTAGGGGTAATGGTAATGGTAGTAGTTTAATGGTGGTAGTGATGGTGGTAGTAGTAGTAATGATGATGGTAGTAGTTTAATGGTAGTAGTTGAATGGTAGTAGTGGTGGTAGTAGTAGTAATGATGATGGTAGTAGTTTAATGGTGGTAGCTTAATGGTGGTAGTAGTAGTAATGATGATGGTAGTAGTTTAATGGTAGTAGTGGTGGTAGTAGTAGTAGTAATTATGATGGTAGTAGTTTAATGGTAGTAGTAGTAGTAGTAGTAGTAGTAGTAGTAGTAGTAGTAGTAGTAGTAGTAGTAGTAATGATGATAGTAGTTCTAGCACTAATATAGTGGTGATGATAATAGTAGTAATAGTGTTAGTAGGTAGTAGGTAGAAATATTGGTGGTAGTAATGATACCTAGTAGTGGTAATGGTATTGTAGGGATAGTTGTGGTATTAGTCTAAATAACAGTTGTGGTAGCATTCATTTTAGTAGTATTAATAGTAGCTTGTTATTTTTCATGTTTCGTCTATTATTGTCCACATTATTTATCCTATTTTTATATTACTATCCACTGTTGTCATTATATTGTTATTTCTATTATTTTATTATTATGACAATTTGATTTGATTATTATTTATCATTTTATATATTTTTCATTACAACGTGTACAATGAGTGTACAAAACACTCTTTCAATGACATAGACTGATCAGGTGAATCCAGGTGAAAGCTATGATCCCTTATTGATGTCACTTGTTAAATCCACTTCAATCAGTGTAGGGGAGGAGACAGGTTAAAGAAGGATTTTTAAGCCTTGAGACAATTGAGACATGGATTGTGTATGTGTGCCATTCAGAGGGTGAACAGGCAGGACAAAATATGAAGTGCCTTTGAACAGGGTATGGTCGTAGGTGCCAGGTAGGGTTGAAAGGCGCTCCCTTTTCCCGGGATAAATAACTGCGAGAAACCGGTAAATTATAATAAATTATTTATATGAACAGCATGACGTTGTGATGGAAAGTTTTATGTTTGTGCTTTTCTATTAACCAATTTCTGTGTTCTATTCTATGTGCTTTTCTTATAACCAATTTCTGTGTTCATGCAAGTGACTGATTGAACAAATCTTCACTATCAGTATCTGCAATTTGGCAGTACGCCCAGACCCTTATTTTGAGAGCGAAAGATATCTCAGTTTCAAGGTCTCAGCTTAGAGAGAAAAAGCCTTGTGAGGTATTGGTCTGTTCCATGCATGACCCAGTATTGATCCGTCACATAAATGAAGCAAACGTTAATGATGAATTAATTAAGAATGATGAATAAGCTAAATCATGCAAATACAACTTGTCTGTATATAAGAGAACTAACGGGACTGCCCCGAAAGAGCTCCTGATCAACATGTGTACTGAGTTGGTTGGAACCAGCGCTCTGATAATAAACAATTGACTTTGAGTGTCTCTGTGTAGAATTTCCACAACAACGTGAAATGGAACAGTTAAATTATATGCAATGTCTAAATCGGGCTTCTCCACAGCCTCTGCATGATGAATCAACTATCAGTGTGGGGACAGACAGCCCATCTCAGCATGGAGCGCAGTTCACAATGCATGTAGACCTATCATCTCATCATGGTAACTTTTTTTCTTGTTATAGGTAGGCCTACATTTGCTGCAGCATAGCCTATGCTACATTAATATAAAGACCGAATGTGCATCTAATTTACCCATCTCCATCTGGCTTTTGGGTGTCACCTTGTTTTTAAATTGTAAAGATATCTATTTATTTTTTATTGCAGCTGCAGAGTTTTAAAACAGCCTATCACTCGAACATCGTTGCTTTAAATCAGCACACGCGCGAGCACTCTCTCACAGTCTTTCTTTCTCTCCATCAACTCCATTCAAATTGCATCCAAAATAGATAATCCTGTTCTAGATTGATATATAACCCTATATGTTGATGTCCTAGCCTACCTCTTTCAGGTAACACATTCAATGCACTATTAGCCTTATATTTAGCTAAGTAATGATGGCTTATGCATAATAAGCTTTAACCTGTGCTCCACTGGCCTCTCCTTACAAAACACTCCTTAGCTCTTGGAGTCCCATGCTAGACTAGAATAGATTGCTGGACATGATCATTTTAGCATTTCTTATACCAATAGACTATTCAAAGAGGGATGCATGCTCTTTTTTGCTAATTGTTAAATACAGCAGCCAATAGAACTCATGGGTAGTTTGAAAAAAGAGCGAATGCACGATGGCGGTAGGCTATAGCAGTGTTTTATTCAGAATCTTCATAAAGAGAAGTTAAAGCCTTCTGCATCTAATTCTAGTTCTATATTATTCAAGGATGTCATTAGAATGATGAAGATAAGGACAACGAAACGTATTTCATTTAAGTGTTAAAAGCGAGGAAGGAATGAAGCAACAATAGAGAGAAAAAGAGGAGGTAGGCTAATAACATTAGGGGAAATATTATGAAAGGTATATATGCGTCAGCCTACTAATTATACAAATAGGCCCAATCAAATTCGCTAGCATATACAGTTGAAGTCGGAAGTTTACATACACTTAGGTTGGAGTCATTAAAACTTGTTTTTCAACCACTCACACATTTCTTGTTAACAAACTATAGTTTGGGCAAGTCGGTTAGGACATCTACTTTGTGCATGACGCAAGCAATTTTTCCAACAATTGTTTACAGACAGATTATTTAACTTATAATTCACTGTATCACAGTTCCAGTGGGTCAGAAGTTTACATACACTAAGTTGACTGAGCCTTTAAACAGCTTGGAAAATTCCAGAAAATTATGTCATGGCTTTAGAAGATTCTGATAGGCTAACTGACATCATTTGAGTCAATTGGAGGTGTACCTGTGGATGTATTTCAAGGCCTACCTTCAAACTCAGTGCCTCTTTGCTTGACATCATGGGAAAATCAAAAGAAATCAGCTAAGACCTCAGAAAATAAATTGTAGACCTCCACAAGTCTGGTTCATCCTTGGGAGCAATTTCCAAACGCCTGAAGGTACCACGTTCATCTGTACAAACAATAGTACAGAAGTATAAACACCATGGGACCACGCAGCCGTCATACCGCTCAGGAAGGAGACGCGTTCTGTCTCCTAGAGATGAACGTACTTTGGTGTGAAAAGTGCAAATCAATCCCAGAACATCAGCAAAGGACCTTGTGAAGATAATGGAGGAAACAGGTACAAAAGTATCTATATCCACAGTAAAACGAGTCCTATATCGACATAACCTGAAAGGCCGCTCAGCAAGGAAGAAGCCACTGCTCCAAAACCGCCATAAAAAAGCCAGACTACGGTTTGCAACTGCACATGGGGACAAAGATCATACTTTTTGGAGAAATTTCCTCTGGTCTGATTAAACAAAAATAGAACTGTTTGGCCATAATGACCATCGTTATGTTTGGAGGAAAAGGGGGTATCTAGCAAGCCGAAGAACACCATCCCAACCGTGAAGAACGGGGGTGGCAGCATCATGCTGTGGGGGTGCTTTGCTGCAGGAGGGACTAGTGCACTTCACAAAATAGATGGCATCATGACAAAGGAAAATTATGTGGATATATTGAAGCAACATCTCAAGACATCAGTCAGGAAGTTAAAGCTTGGTCGCAAATAGGTCTTCCAAATGGACAATGACCCCAAGCATACTTCCAAAGTTGTGGCAAAATGGCTTAAGGACAACAAAGTCAAGGTATTGGAGTAGCCATCACAAAGCCCTGACCTCAATCCTATAGAACATTTGTGGGCAGAACTGAAAAAGTGTGCTCGATCAAGGAGGCCTACAAACCTGACTCAGTTACACCAGCTCTGTCAGGAGGAATGGGCCAAAATTCACCCAACTTATTGTGGGAAGCTTGTGGAAGGCTACCCGAAATGTTTGACCCAAGTTAAACAATTTAAAGGCAACGCTACCAAATACTAATTGAGTGCACGTAAACCTCTGACCCACTGGGAATGTGATGAAATAAATAAAATAAATCATTCTCTCTACTATTATTCTGAGATTTCACATTCTTAAAATAAAATGGTGATCCTAACTGACCTAAGGCAGGGAATTTTTACTAGGATTAAATGTCAGAAATTGTGAAAAACAGAGTTTAAATGTATTTGGCTAAGGTGTATGTAAACTTCCGACTTCAACTGTACTTGTAACTTTGTAGGCTGCAAGTGCTGCACCAGAATCGCATGTTCTCTTCTGCTTTATTATGGTTTGAACAATGTGCGTAATTCCAGTCCATATAATACAGTATAATACACTACTGTACAGTAATACAGTTCATACTCAATAAGATTAGCCTACTGGAGCTAGTTTAATTTATTTACCCAAGAGAGCATATAGCTAGCTACATCTATGGGCTTTTCTGTTTTTCTGTGCAGTAGCCTATATCATATATGTATTGGATAATGGCACATTAATTTGGGTTTTTGTGGGCTTGGGCTCATTAAATATCGTTAATGTATTTAATATATAGCTCATTAGGCTCAGGTAGCATCAGGTTTGAATTTTCATGCAGATCAAAACTCTAATCAAAGCTTTGGCGGCAAACACTGGGTTACCAGAGAAAAGTGATTTATTCTCAGGATGGAATATTTGTAAAATACCGGGAAAATATTTAAATATAGTTTGAGTGTGTCAAGAACTGCAATGCTGCTAGGTTTTTCACGCTCAACAGTCTCCCTTATATATCAAGAATGATCCACCACCCAAAGGACATCCAGCCAACTTACATTTTAGTCATTTAGCAGACGCTCTTATCCAGAGCAACTTACAGTCAGTGAGTCCATACATTTTTTTTTTTTTTTATCATACTGCCCCCCCCTGCCCCCCCCCCCCTGCCCCCCCACCCCCCCCGTGGGAATCGAACGCACAACCCTGGCATGGCAAACACCATGCTCTACCAACTGAGCTACATCCCTGCCAGCTATTCTCTCCCCTACCCTGGATGACTTGTGCGCCACCCCATGGGTCTCCCGGTCACGGCCAGTTACGACAGAGCCTGGATTCCAACCAGGATCTCTAGTGGCACAGCTAGCACTTAGACCACTGCGCCACTCGGAAGACCGCTTGACACAACTGTGGGAAGCATTGGAGTCAACATGGGCCACCTTTCCTGTGGAACACTTTCGACACCTTGTAGAGTTCATGCCCTGACGAATTGAGTCTGTTCTGAGGGCAAAAGGGGGTGCAACTCAATATTAGGAAGGTGTTCCTAATGTTTTGTACACTCAGTGTATATTGTCTACATTGACACCTTGGCAATATTTACACAATATGTAGCTTCCCAATAAAGCTATTGGAATTTGAGAGAGCAAGAGAAAGAGAGAGAGAGAGAGAGAGAGAGAGAGAGAGAGAGAGGAGAGAGAGAGAGAGAGAGAGAGAGAGAGAGAGAGACAGAGATAGGAGAAAGAGAGACGAGAGAGGAAAGAGAGAGCGAGGTACTAGATAGAAAGAGCTACAGTGCTACAACAAACAGTCAGCCAGCCAGTGACACAGAGCCCCTCTAACCCTCTGGCTGACACACACACACTGGAACCCAGGCCAGGGAAATACAGACCACGTGGCTGAAACTGGATCCTACAATCCTAGTTATATTTGATTATTTTAAACTCAAACATGGCAGGACAGGTCAAAGTACCATGGTTTTAGAGATGGCTGTGTGGCAGGCTGCGTTTACCTGGTCTCTGTTGGCTATCTGTGAGTATGGCAGCTCTCCCGTCATCAGCTCATAGAGAACAACACCGTAAGAGTACACGTCAGACTGGAAACTATAGGGCATATTGTCCTGCATCCGGATAACCTCGGGAGCCTGAGAACAGAGGATGGAAAAACAGACAAACATGATTAAATTGATATCATTTACAATTCCGGGAACCATAATGAGTAAATCTGAAACCCATAATGAATCAACTTCTCATATGGGTCTTATGGGTGGTAACTTCTCAGTTTCATTTTGTGTCATTTTCAACAGAGTCGAGTCAAACACACAATAAATGCACAATGAACTTTTCTATGTCCTGTTACTGACCATCCACAGTATGGACCCTGAGGGTTGCTCCACCTGGTGAGATCCACTCCACCTGGCTTTGACCGTGGCCAGACCAAAGTCTCCAATCTTCACCGTCAGGCCCTCGTGTAGGAAGATATCTGTACTGCTGTCAAGAAGGCAGAGCTGTGGCAGAGACTGCTGAGTCTGTGGAAAAAACTAAATATCTGCGCTCATACATAATCTGTCTAATTTCAAGCCGACACCATTTTTTATTCAGTTTTGTCACAACAGAGTGACAGAGCGTGAAAAAGTATGAAGAAAAGGATACTGTTTGATTTCATGTCCCTGTGGATGATGTTTTTGGCATGCAAATAGCTGAAAGAGAAATACAGTGAAAATTGTATTTTAGGACATTTCAGTTGCATGTAAAAAATATAAAAGAGAAGAAAATCGCATCTTTCTCAATCTAGCATCCTTCTAAAGCTATCACCCTTCTATAGCGTTGATTTAAAGTTAGCATCCTTGTAAAACTAGCATCCTTATACAGCTAGCAGTAGCACCATTCTACACCTAAGCTTGTCCCTGCTGTATGGACTCACTCCATGCCCTGAGCTGTCTGCCTGGCGATGTCTATGAGCTGGAACATCTGTAAGTTGGTCTCCTGGACGTGGAGGTGTTTGTAGAGGCTGCTGCCCTCACACCACTGGGTCACGATGGCCAGGTTGTCCTTCGTCATGTAGCCCATGAACAACAGGATGTTGACGTGTCGCGTTTTCCTGTGGCCAGAGAGAGCGAGCGAGAGAGAGAGAGAGAGAGAGAGAGAGAGAGAGAGAGAGAGAGAGAGAGAGAGAGAGAGAGAGAGAGAGAGAGAGAGAGAGAGAGAGAGATAACGCTGCATGATGCTATCAACAATAAACACATTATAGGGTCAACTTATTGCTGTCTCTAAAGTAAATACCCTGAATACAATATGGGTATCACCATAGTCCTCTTCACTACTCTCACCCTCTCTTACCTAAGCACAGCCACCTCGTTTCTGAAGGCCTGGAACTGTTCCGGTGTGGGGTCAATCACCTTTAGGATCTTCACCGCTACGTCACCTACAACAGACAAACAACATGTGGTAAGGAAACTTCCTTAGCTGCTGTGTGGCCATCTTCTCTCAACAAACTACACAACAGAGAAGAGGTGAAGATAATTGCCAAGTAGACTAGACTCAGCACAAGTGTTAAACTCGTGGGGTGGTTAGAAGAAACAGCTTCCAACAAACCAAGTGTTAAAATAATTGTGTTTATCCAGAAGCATGCTCACCGTGCCATTTCCCTTTGTATACCGTTCCGAAGGAGCCTGAGCCGATACAGGAGTGCAGCACCACTTCACTTGCCTCGATCTCCCAGTAGTAACTAGAGTCCCGCTTGTCCCTCGGACGCTGGAGGAGGATAGTCAATATAAGGCCACATTCTCTATATACAGTAGATCTTACATTCAATACACGTATGCAGATATTCCTAGGAATTAAAAGTACTATTAAGATGCTATTAACTCACAGTCACTGTACAGGCTACAGGGGCTGTCTAACTTACTATTTTGTGTTTCTCCTGAGCGTTGAATGACGGAGCCCTTTCTCGTCTGTCTGGCGCTGGGGTTTTAGACTGAGACCAGCTTGTGGGACTCTGGCTGGGGGAACTCCCGTCTAGGGAGGGAAGATGGACCAACAGTATTCGGCACACCAGGTTATGACAGAAAAATGTTGTTGTGGGATGTTATACATGTTTCCTTTAGCTTAGCAGAAACTTTCGAAAATCTTACCCGAGTCATGATTACGCATTGCTTCATGATTACGCATTGCCTCCTACAAAAACAAAAGAGAAAATATTCTGTCACATTTTTACAAATATCAAATGAACACTAGTCATTCAACAGTTTGATAATTCAGAAACTGTAAAAACATGTGTATACTAGTCTGTTGAAAGGCATGCCATGTTGTTTATCACACAACACTCAGACACTCTGCCTCCTAACCTTGGCTGGGCTCTCTGACGTCGCCTCAAGAAAAGAGTTGGAGAAGCGAACAATACCTACTCTCCTCTTCAGCCAGAAGCGCCTGCACCAGGAGCTAGGGGAGGCATTCAGGCAATCTAGCTACTCCCAATCAGGGCACGACACAGTGGGACAGTGAGGACAGGGAAGGAAAGGGAGACAGAGTAAAGGAAGGTAAGGGAGGAGAGATAGAGTGCTACCCGGGTGTTCAATTTTGTGGGCATATTAGATACAGCATTCAAGTTATAATTTTTCCAAATACACCCGGGTATGGAAACATAAAAAACGAATCAGAAAGGAATACAGTAAGTGCAGGATATAAAAAGTGATATCGAACAAAGAGAATAGAACACAATCAAGAAAATCATGGAAAGTAAATTGTAATCATGCAAGATGGATTACTTAATAGAAAACGTAAGGGGGAAGGACGGTAGACAGAAGTGGGGCAGAGGAGGCTGGTTGGGATTCCTGGCATGTAAGAAGGGCCAGATCGGGCAGGGAGGTTATTTTCAGAAGGGCTGCCTGGACCTCCAGGAGTCCCCTGGGGGCCCATGTGGTGTGTTGTTACCTCGATCATGCTGCTGTCGACGGGCAGGGTGGTGCTGACCATGTGGACGTTGGGCGTGGAGGTGGAGCGCTGCCTCTGGGACAGAGTGCCCCCTGTGGGTGGGTAGGGGGCCGTGTAGTTGAAGGCGTGAGGGGTGGAGTAGCGGTGCAGAGAGCTGGGGGATGAACACAGGGGCAACATCAGGCTTAGGTGTTGGGACACCGCCTTGGCTTGTGCGAGCCGGTACGGCTCATATAAGCATCTCCTGTTTCAGTATTGTGAGGCAGCTTGATGTAGTTAAGTACACCCCCTGGACAGGACGCTAGTCTATCACAGGGCCCCCTGGACAGGACAATAGTCTTTCGCAAGGTATAATAGTGTAATGGTTTTCTCATGACAATTGTTTGGATTATCAAAGATCAAATAGTATTACCATGATTGAATTATTACTATTGTTGTTTCTGTAAGTCTTAGATAGTCCTCAGATAGATACCATTGAGGTGCTCTGTTAATGCTTACACATTCTACATACACCATCAGTTCTTGTTAGGGAAAACTTCGCACATAATATAATTCAGAAACTTCTTCAAATTAGTCTCACAGGGTTGTGGTGGACGGCAGTTTGTCAGTTTCATTTCTGACATGTTGCGTCATAAACCCTGGTACACTGCTGCTGGACAGTCTCGTGTACTGTATTGTCGGTTGCTAGTGAAAGTGGCACTCCCTGTGAGTGATGTACCACAACAGCGCTTATACTGTATTATAAACTGGGTGGTTCAAGCCCTGAATGTTGATTGGCTGACAGTCGTGGTATATCAGACTGTATACCACAGGTATGACAAAACATTTATTTTTACTGCTCTAATTACGTTGGTAACCAGTTGATAATAGCAATAAGGCAACTCTGGGGTTTGTGGTATATTGCCAATATACCACGGCTAAGGGCTGACGCAACGAACAGCCCTTAGCCGTGGTATTTTGGCCATATACCACACGCCCTTGGGCCTTATTGCTTAATTACACCACACTTCTAACCGTGTAAAGCACTCTATGAGAACAAATCCCCCTTTTGGCCAAAACAGGAATTTGTTTCGAAAGAGCATTTTAGATTGTTCTGCAAGGAACAACTTGATAATGTGTATGAGCTAATTTGGCGATCTGAGTGCTTTAAACTGTTATAAATGCTTCTGGAACCACAGGCTTTTTTCACACCTCTGCTTACATCAGCCCCCTGGACAGGGAAAGCTTCATAAAGCTGGAGACGTAATCAAAAACAGGCTTTAATTCAGTTTGAGGCCCAAGTTAAAGTGCTTTACAACGTACAGCTGCATCAGCTGAGGGCCAGTCAAGCATGGCAATCAAAGAACCCTTAGCATTTGGCCACCATTACCTCCAAGAGCCAAAGTACTTACCTCACCTTACCGTACTGTAGTTAAATCAATTACTACCGCACGCAACCCTTAGTCTATGTTAAATAGTAAGTCAATTGGAAGACTTTTACTCAACTTCTGTAGTTGTCTGATTGCTGATGCTGTGTTGCTGCCTGGAGATAGCCTTGCTCACAGTACTATGGTGAAAGTGGCCCATGGGACCAATATCATTCAGGGGTCAGAGGTGTTAGGTCAGAGGTCAGGAGCAGGAGGGGTGGCCGTACCTGCTAGGGAATCGGGATAGTGATTCTCTCATTCGTCGAGATGTAAGAGGAGGAAGAGATGGACCCCCACTTTCACCTGATGTAGGGAACAACCTAGAGAGAGAGAGAGAGAGAGAGAGAGAGAGAGAGAGAGAGAGAGAGAGAGAGAGAGAGAGAGAGCGAGAGAGAGAGAGAGAGAACAAGAAAGAAAAAGACAGAGACAGAGACAGAGACAGACAGATAGATCTGTTTAAAATACTTCAGGATAAAGAAAGCACCATGGAAGGTTGCCAGATAAAATGACATGTATCTCTTCATTATCAGTGATAGCCATCTACAAATGCTTACTGATGAAATATGGAGTTCTAAAACCTGCATGCAAAACAATGATATATTTTCAGTGCCTGTATGCTAAACTGTGTCCCTATGAACTCCTCTACTACAGGAACAATATAAACAGAGGTTACCTTAACCTGACAACACCGTTCACAGCAATTGGATATTTCATTTGTAGAACTCGTCATTTGTATCTATTTGTTCAGAATATCTATGAATAATGCAGACTGTGAGAGCAGTACATTAATTTATCTTATTTATCCCCTATTCATAACATTATTTATTCACTGATTGCTATATAGTTGTACTTAACATTCATATTGTTTTGTAAGTGTTCTTGCTATTCAATACAAACAGTTAGGTGTTGGCAGACATTTTGTTTTGCTCTGCACAGTAGAGGAGAGGAGACTTACAGGAGCTGTCTGATGTTGCTCCAATCCACACACATCGTGGGCACTTTGGTGCTGCAATGCTCATGGAATTTGTAGCCGCATGTTTGGCAACGGAAACCATTCAAAAGGAACTTCTGGCATATATCGCAGAAGGCTAACTTAAGAAATGTTTTCCGAACCTGAAAGTTAAAGAGGAGAATTCAATATTTATTTATTTTCCAGTCAATGCTAACTGCCTGGGTGAATGGTGTAAAATGATTTATGGGCTACTTACAAAGTTGTGCGTCGTCAAGGGGACGTGATCTAAAACTTCCACCAGCAGTTCTTCCCCAATTAGTGAGGTAGAGTCGGTATTCCAATCCATACGTGACTTTTTACTGTTAGAAAAGGGACATGACACATTTTGTAAGGTAACATCTACTGGAGAGTACAGACCTAGACAACTAACCTTTACAAGAAAAGGTCATTCAACACATCTACCTGAAAGGTGGAATAGCTGTTGAAAGCTTTTTGCAGCAAAGTTTAACCACATCGTTGAAAAAATTAAACAAGGTAGAAGTTGCCCCTAACCACAGATCTAGGATCAGCTTGCCCCACTCCCAATCCTAGCTTTAGATATTAGATGGGTGAAATAATATCTGACCCTGTGACACCCCTCTGATCTCCCCCTCCAGTGCCTAGTGCGTACCTCCTCTGTCCTGGGTGCAGTCTGAAGACAGCACAGCACTCCGGCTGCAGACCCCGCACCTTCAGCGCTTTGATCAGGCAGCTGTGCAGGGTCATACCTGGCCTCACGTTCACCTGGGGGACCACAACAAACACACTTAACAACAACAACACATACTGTGACTAGTTAAAACACAAACATGTGCATAATATATTACCTTTTGGGATAATGGGATGATTTGGGATAATGGTATACCCTTTGGTCTGTGTATGATGGTGACAATCAATCTAGGCAGCAATTTTCCACCAACAGACTTAGATGATTCAGGTAATTAAGCACTCAAAACAACAGCAGTGCAACAATGTGTTGTTGTTTCCATAATCCCACTCACTCACTGTCCTCTGAACTACTGTTTTCCTTATGTGTCCATGTGTACAGTGTCTTTGGGTGTTTTGAAAGGCTCTTCAAATGAAATGTACTGTTAGTTGTAACATTAATATTACTATTCCATTAGACTCACCACGGTGCGCTGCTGGTTGGGGAGGTAGACTCGGATGGTGCTGCTGGTCTTAGAGTCGGGGATCTTGCTGTCGTCTGAGGCGCGGCGCTGGTAGGGAAAGCCCTGAACCATGGTGGGGGAGAGACAGGGGCCGTCGAACACAGAGTCCTTCATTCCAAAGCCGTTGCTCAGGGTCTTCCACGCTCCCTGGAGGTGCTCCATCAGCAAACACTAGTGCTCTCAGCGCTCTGGGGACACACAGAATATCAGGTCACACTAGAGGTCAGCCATGTCAGTAGACTGTGAACTAGGCAAGGTTTCTACACATGACACTGGATGACTCTGTTAAGAGCAAGTAAAGTTGTGTGAGGTTGCATGTTGGGTTTGAAAATTATTTTGTGACAAAATCAACAATATATTTATGACCGAATGGGTTCGAATACTTTGAAATTGAGTCTCCTGACGATAATCAGCTCAGGTAGCAAATGCTAATATTAAGGACTCAGGCAAGGTTACTCATCACACAAGCGTGGTTCACCAGCACATCCGTTACATATCAACACACACGAAACAAAGCACCTGCAAAGATTCAAAATCAAAGCAAAAAGGATGAGTTTATTTCCAAAATGCTTTATCCACCAATTTTACACATTTGTGTTTTTTTCACAAGAAATGAACGCGCTTGGGTACCTTCATGTGTGTGTAAAATATTACTGTTCTCAGATTGTTAATTGCTATATTTTAGGTGTGTATTAAAATGATATTTCTTTGGCTAAATGCTATATATCCATTGTTTAGCTGGAATGGAATGTTTGTATATTGTATATTTGACTGTGATATGTGGTTGTCTCTGTCACGCCCTGGCTCTGGGGACTCTTTATGTTGAGCCAGGGTGTGTAGGTTTCATTGTTTAGTTTTCTATGTTTGTGTTCTAGATCGTTTAGATCTATGTTGGCCAGGGTGGTTCCCAATCAGAGGCAGCTGTAGCTTGTTGTCTCTGATTGGGACCCATACTTAGGCAGCCTGTTTGGCACTGTTAATTTGTGGGATCTTGTTCCGGAAGGTTTGTGTTCAACCCAGGACTTCACGTATCATTTGTTTTGTTGTTTTGGTTCGTGTTGTGTACTGCAATAAAAGTATGTACGCATATCACGCTGCGCCTTGGTCCGCTTCATGTAACGATCGTGACAGAAGATCCCACCTCGACTGGATCAAGCAGCGTGACGAGGAGAGAGGATGGACCTGGGAGGAGATGAGTGAGAGTCTGGCAAGAGGGATGGAGGCCATGAGCACGGGGGAGAGACAAGCCCAAAAAAAATGTAGGGGGGGGGCTCACGCCGTGGACGACGAGGCAGCGGGAGGCCGCGATAGAGCGGTTCAGCAGGTTGGCAGAGGAGGCCGCCAGGTTACGGGGGCCACTGGTCACGAGGGAGAAGGATAGTGTGGAGGCACGGCGAGAGGAACTGAGTAGGCAGCAGAGGGAGCGGAGGTTTATGAGGAAACCCAGTCCGGTCCGGCTCGTTCCTGATTCCCGCACAAGGCCAGTGGTGTGTGTTCCCAGTACGGTCAGCCCCGTTCCTGCTCCCCGCACTAAGCCTGTGGTGCGCGTCGCCAGCCCGGTCCGGCCTGTACCTGCTCCCTGCATCAAGCCAATGGTGCGCGTCGTCAGCCCGGTCCGGCCTGTTCCTGCTCCCCGCACCAAGCCAATGGTGCGCGTCGTCAGCCCGGTCCGGCCCGTTCCTGCTCCCCGCACCAAGCCAATGGTGCGCGTCGTCAGCCCGGTCCGGCCCGTTCCTGCTCCCCGCACCAAGCCAGTGGTGCGCGTCGTCAGCCCGGTCCGGCCCGTTCCTGCTCCCCGCACCAAGCCAGTGGTGCGCGTCGCCAGCCCGGTCCGGCCCGTTCCTGCTCCCCGCACCAAGCCAGTGGTGCGCGTCGTCAGCCCGGTCCGGCCCGTTCCTGCTCCCCGCACCAAGCCAGTGGTGCGCGTCGTCAGTCCGGCACGGTCCGTGCCTGTTCCACCGGTGCCTGATCCGGCACCGGTCAGCTGCTCCACGCCGGAGCCAGAGCAATCCGCTCCACCGGGGTTCAGTCCAGCTCCGGCCAGTGGGACCAGACCAGGGGCGCAACGGGGGGGTAGAGAGAGTGTGGTGGTCACACCCGGAGCCGGATCCGCCTCCGAGGCGGAATGCCCACCCGGCCCCTACCCTGTTGTGTTTGGTGTGGCGCGGTCGCAGTCCGCGCCTTTGGGGGGGGTACTGTCACGCCCTGGCTCTGGGGACTCTTTATGTTGAGCCAGGGTGTGTAGGTTTCATTGTTTAGTTTTCTATGTTTGTGTTCTAGATCGTTTAGATCTGTTGGCCAGGGTGGTTCCCAAACAGAGGCAGCTGTAGCTTGTTGTCTCTGATTGGGACCCATACTTAGGCAGCCTGTTTGGCACTGTTAATTTGTGGGATCTTGTTCCGGAAGGTTTGTGTTCAACCCAGGACTTCACGTATCATTTGTTTTGTTGTTTTGGTTCGTGTTGTGTACTGCAATAAAAGTATGTACGCATATCACGCTGCGCCTTGGTCCGCTTCATCTAACGACGATCGTGACAGTCTCACCTAGCTATCTTAAGATGAATGCACTAACTGTAAGTCGCTCTGGATAGGAGCATGTGCTAAATGACTAAAATGTCAAATGTAAATGTTTTACATACAGATCTCATACTACTGTACTGATTCATAAAAATTAAAATATTGATGTCACAAATGTATCATTTGTACAGTTCTTTAAAAAGAAAATAGTTAGTTGTTACATTTGACTGTGTAAAACCTAGGAGTACTACTTATTTCTCTGAGAGTGTGGCGGATATATAACGTTTTGCAAAAAAACATGATTATTTGTCTCTCTGAAATGAAACCATCAAGTGATAGATTTCAAACTAATACATGTATGTCATTGAACAATCCCATGCCATGATTAGATAGTGAAAAAACATACCAATCTCTTTCATAAGTTCTTTAAACAATAAAAGCTAATTTACCAACATTTCTGAAAATGGATATTTAGCATTTTGGAAAGAAACTCTTGAAATGTTGTGTCCTCATTTAAATTAATAATTATCTGAAAAAGACTTTCTAGCACTTTCTAGTTGATAGATCTCATCAAATTGTACCAGCAAGCCCTTTGGCCCATTTTACTACAAATATGCACCTGCTTCGCTCTTGTTTTCAATACAAATGCAGCAGCACACATAAACACAACAAATGTAAATACTCAGCCTCTCTCTGGTGGTGTGGGGTGTGGACACAAGAGATACATCTTACACAGAGAACAGTTAACATGACAGAGATGATTGACTACTGTTGTAAACTTTAACCCCACAAGGTTCACAGGTCACAAAACCAAACCAGGGGCCTACTCAACAGGTACACGTCCATAGGCGGTAAGACCACCATGCCCCAGTTGGAGTTGTGTTCAAAATAATCAGGTTGACTATTGTCCACCTCTGAAGGTAAATAATGTACATACAGTGGGGAGAACAAGTATTTGATACACTGCCGATTTTGCAGGTTTTCCAACTTACAAAGCATGTAGAGGTCTGTAATTTTTATCATAGGTACACTTCAACTGTGAGAGACGGAATCTAAAACAAAAATCCAGAAAATCACATTGTATGATTTTTAAGTAATTAATTAGCATTTTATTGCATGACATAAGTATTTGATACATCAGAAAAGCAGAACTTAATATTTGGTACAGAAACCTTTGTTTGCAATTACAGAGATCATACGTTTCCTGTAGGTCTTGACCAGGTTTGCACACACTGCAGCAGGGATTTTGGCCCACTCCTCCATACAGACCTTCTCCAGATCCTTCAGGTTTCGGGGCTGTCACTGGGCAATACGGACTTTCAGCTCCCTCCAAAGATTTTCTATTGGGTTCAGGTCTGGAGACTGGCTAGGCCACTCCAGGACCTTGAGATGCTTCTTACGGAGCCACTCCTTAGTTGCCCTGGCTGTGTGTTTCGGGTCGTTGTCATGCTGGAAGACCCAGCCACGACCCATCTTCAATGCTCTTACTGAGGGAAGGAGGTTGTTGGTCAAGATCTCGCGATACATGGCCCCATCCATCCTCCCCTCAATACGGTGCAGTCGTCCTGTCCCCTTTGCAGAAAAGCATCCCCAAAGAATGATGTTTCCACCTCCATGCTTCACGGTTGGGATGGTGTTCTTGGGGTTGTACTCATCCTTCTTCTTCCTCCAAACACGGCGAGTGGAGTTTTGACCAAAAAGCTCTATTTTTGTCTCATCAGACCACATGACCTTCTCCCATTCCTCCTCTGGATCATCCAGATGGTCATTGGCAAACTTCAGACGGGCCTGGACATGCGCTGGCTTGAGCAGGGGGACCTTGCGTGCGCTGCAGGATTTTAATCCATGACGGCGTAGTGTGTTACTAATGGTTTTCTTTGAGACTGTGGTCCCAGCTCTCTTCAGGTCATTGACCAGGTCCTGCCGTGTAGTTCTGGGCTGATCCCTCACCTTCCTCATGATCATTGATGCCCCACGAGGTGAGATCTTGCATGGAGCCCCAGACTGAGGGTGATTGACCGTCATCTTGAACTTCTTCCATTTTCTAATAATTGCGCCAACAGTTTTTGCCTTCTCACCAAGCTGCTTGCCTATTGTCCTGTAGCCCATCCCAACCTTGTGCAGGTCTACAATTGTATCCTTACACAGCTCTCTGGTCTTGTCCATTGTGGAGAGGTTGGAGTCTGTTTGATTGAGTGTGTGGACAGGTGTCTTTTATACAGGTAACAAGTTCAAACAGGTGCAGTTAATACAGGTAATGAGTGGAGAACAGGAGGGCTTCTTAAAGAAAAACTAACAGGTATGTGAGAGCCGGAATTCTTACTGGTTGGTAGGTGATCAAATACTTATGTCATGCAATAAAATGCAAATTAATTACTTAAAAATCATACAATGTGATTTTCTGGATTTTTGTTTTGGATTCCGTCTCTCACAGTTGAAGTGTACCTATGATAAAAATTACAGACCTCTACATGCTTTGTAAGTAGGAAAACCTGCAAAATCGGCAGTGTATCAAATACTTGTTCTCCCCACTGTACATTCAGTAATCTTGCTCTGATTTGTCATCCTAAGGGTCCCAGAGATAAAATGTAGCATAGTTTTGTTTGATAAAATAAATGTTTATATTGAAATGTAGGAACTGGGTTC